TCCGTTCCCCCTTCCCTTCCGTTCCTCTCCACGCCTCCGTCCNCTCCCTCCTTCCTCGTCCGTCCNCCNCCTCCCCCCCCNCCCCCCCCNCCCCCCCCCCTTCCGTGGAATCTCAATAGCGTACCATCCCATGTCGTGCCGCGTCGCTCGCTCAGCATCACGGCCTGTTCTAAACGATGTCGAGTCGGTTTCTGATTTCGTCTGCTTCACTCTGCTCCGCCTTGGATCCTGGACGGCGTCGAAGAGGAGCGCGCCCCGCCGTCCACCTCCGACGGTAGATCGTCCGGCTGCAGTGCGCCCTCTCCGCCCTCTTCCTCCCTCACCTCCGCCTCCGCCTCCGCCCCTGCCTCTTCACCATCCTCCACCACCTCCGCACCACGTCGAGGCTCGACGAGCAACGCAAGTCTCTGCATGTATCCCCTGCGGATCCAGCCGCGCTTGACGAGGCGGTGCAGCGTGGATCTCCAGTCGTTCCTCTCCCTCCCCTCGCCCACCTCCTCCCCGCCGCCGCCCATCCCGCGCCGCCTCCCGCGCGTCGTGGCCTTCATATCCCTCACGCCATCCCACACCCCACCAAGATACCGTCGTCGTCGCTCCTGCTGTTCCCGCCCAGCAGTGTTGTAGCGCTCAAACAGGTCCAGACACCGTTTCGCCACTTGCCCCTCGTCCTCTCGATCTTGCTCGCTTCCACCGCCACGCCCACCACCAGCGACGGCGCGGGGACCACCGAGGCAGAATCCAAGGACGCGTCGGAAGCTGCGCGTGCTCAGCTCAATTCGCCACGGGTAGGGATCCGCGTGGACGCAAAAGTGGGTCAGGAGCCGCAGCGACGTCGACGAGCGCTCGTGCCGCGGTAGCGTAGAGACCTTGGCGAGGAGGTAGAGGAGCGTCTGCTCGCTCGGCGCCAGCGTGTACCCCGGTTCGCCGTCGTTCCGACTCCTCGAGGTTGCCCGTGCAGCGCTTGACGATGTGTTGGAGTCGTCGATGGCAGCGGCAGCGGCGGTGGCGGTGGCGGTGGCGGTGGAGGTCGTCGATGTGGACGCTGCTTCGCTCGTCGACGTCGAGGCATCAGCGTGAATGGCCGAGGCGGCAGGGACAGGGGATCGACAGCCTGCCCCTTCTTGCGCACCCGGTTCGCCGGATGCGCCGTCGACATTGGCGGCCTGGCGCACGAGGTCGATCGACGTCAACCGGCGGAACAGCTGCAGCATCTCGTCGAGGGACACTTGCGGATCCCGGAAGTGGGATCGCATCGCAATGTTCAGGAGCGTCGTCCCGTCGATGCTCTGCATCGGATCCGAGACGGGCAGCGCAAACGGTGTGCCGCTGCTGCTGTGTTGGGCGGTGGCCTCGCTGGACGAGGCGGGGTCAACGTCGAGAAGACTCTGTGGCGGATCAAAGAGGGCGTCGAACGCTGGTGGGTTGGCGTCGAGATGTAGGAGTACGAGATTGAGCACCTGCTCAGACTGTCCGCGGTCCGCGAGGTCGTTGAGTGTCGAAAGGAGGAGCCAGGACGGCGGCTGCCTCGCCGTTGTCGTGTTCGATCCATTGCTGCTGCGACCAGGCTCGTCACTGCGCGATCTACCCTCATCTGCATCGGCAAGACGACGTCGCGAGATGGACGTCAGCGTGGGGAGAAAGGTGGCCGCCACGGCGGCGCGCTCCGAACGCATCATCTCGATATGCTGCTGCTTGGCCAGCTTGTCCTCTTCGGCCAGCAGCTGCGCCTCAGACCACTCCCAGATCGGAGTGCGCGGGGCTGCGACATCCTTGGGGGCAGCGTCGGCCTCTTCCGATAAGCGCATCTTTCGCCGACTCTTGCGGCTGGCCGGTAGCGACGCCGCGCCAACGTCAGAGTCATCGCCGCTCGACCTCAGATGGGCCTTGCTAGCCGCGTCGTCTTGAGGCATCTCTTCTGATGCCGGGAAGGCCGGTTGCGCGAGGCCGTGTCGTATCAGGTTGCTCCAGACGTATGGCGAGATGGCTTCCTTGTCGACAGCGTATCGATGCATCAGGGCTCTGACGAGGTTCCAACGCCCGTGTTTGGCGGCGAGCGTGACGAGGAGCGAGTTGCCCAGGTCGACGGGCTCGATGGGCGGAGGCCAGCCAGATACCCAATCGCCGCGCCTGCTCGGCCGATGATCGGACCCTGCGCGGCGGTGGCGGGCACTTCGAGATTGGGCGCTCTCCGAAGCCCGCTCCTGCAGCCTGCGCAGGGTCTTGATGTCTTCGTGCAGGAAGGCGTAGCGCAAGAGCAGCGCCAGGCTCTCGGCGCTCTCGTCCAGACGGGCTTCCGGGTCCGAGGGTCTTCGCCGCTGTTGCCAGAGGACGTCGAGGTAGAGGCTGAGCAGCTGACCGGGCGTCGGTTTCGGTATGCTGGACTCGACATGGCGGCGCAGTGAGAGCAGCAATTTGGCTTGACCGAGCGTGAGGTGCGGATAGGCGCGTAACGTGGCCGAGAGCGAGGACCAGACCGGTGCAGGGCGATGGCTCCTTGTCACGTTTTGGGTCCCTGCTGGCAAAGTGGCGAGGGCTTCAGCGAAGATGTCGACCTCTTGAGTCTCCTTCGCCTTTCCCTTGGAGAGAAGAGCAGCGATGCCAGGGTAGAGGAGGGGCTTGGCCGCCTCGTTCCCTCGCGAAGTTGAGGACGCAGCAGGAGTCCATAGGTCGTTGTTGACGAAGTCAGCTTGGCCCCTCTTTGCAGCTTTCCTGTCCGAGGCGCCCTGCAGTCTAAGCGGGCTGTGTCCATGGCTGGTAGGTGGGCCGGTCCGGCTGCTGCCGCTGCTGCTGCTGCTACCGGTGCTCGAGCTCGAGGTGGGAAAGGGAGGTGGTGTAGGTGGAATATACGGCCTCGCTGCCGATGTGGCCTCGGCGTCTTCCTCCTTCTCCTCGCCTGTAGGGGCAGCATCCTGCTCCTGGCGGTGAGCGGTGGCCTGAGGCTGCGTGCCGGCGCCCTGGGTGTGATTGAGTCGGCTCAATAGGGGACCGGGGAGGGTGCTCGAGAGGAGCGGTGTTGCATGTTGGTGGTGCCGGTGGTGCTGATGGTGCTGCGTAGCTCGTCTCGACAGGATCGAGACGGCATTTCGCATCTACGGATGCTGCCGGGGCTATGGTCGCTCGATCGCTGTGGGTGGTGCGATCCAGGCGAAGGCGGTGCGGATCGCGGTCGTGATCGAGATTGAAATGTCGCCGAGGAACAAGAGCGGACGAGAGCGGGCGAGGTAGCAGCCGAGCGTATGTACAGTGCCAGATGGCTGGTGTCGCCCGGAGCAGCTAGAAGGTTGGGGAGTGGTGGTGCCGATGGTCGAGATGGCGAGTCGAGGGGTTGCTTGAAGGGCCGAAGGAAGAGGCCGGGTCCAGCTCCAGCTCCAGCTCCAGCTCCAGCTCCAGTCCCAGTCGGCCAGCGCCAGGCGGAAAAAGAAGATTGCGGCCAAAAAGCCTGGCGGGAGGGCCCCTGCCCCACCCAACTTCTTCTCAGCCAGGCCAGCCCAGCCCAAGCCAGGCGCCTCGCCGGGGACGCACCCGATCCACTGCGCGTGATCGCAGCCCGCACGCCCAATCCGGCTGCACCAGCCGCCTCTCCGCTCGCCACCCTTCACCATTTGGCCTCGCGATGACGCTGCTGCTGCTGACGCTCAGACAGAGGACCAGGAAAGAGACTACGCCGGACATCAGGGCTGCATGGTTACTTGTACATGGGGAACGATTAGGCGGCTGGGCTCCTTGGGCTGAGCGAGGAACGGGAAGGTCAGAAATCGAGAGACACGGCAACCTCTAGGTGGTCGATAGGGCGTGCAAAGGCTACGGCGGCGGAGGCGCCACCTCAGCTCAAAGTGTCACAAGCCGTAGGTGAAGATGGACCCTATGCAGACGGACCAGTCTGCATGTAGACGCCCTGCTGCTGCTGCTGTTGTGCGGCCAGCGCCTGCTGGTGAGCCACGGCAGCCGCCTGCTGCTGCGCCGCCTGTTGCGCCTGGACCGCGGCGCGCTGCTGCTGCTGCTACCATGATTCCAGCGACCGACGCGCCCAAGATGTTCAATTTGAAGCGCGCAGGTCAGCACTCTGGCTCTGTCTGATAGGCGAGTCGGCAGCGGCCTGCGGCGTCTCTCAGCCTCTACTCACCTGCTGCTGCGCCTGCAGCGCCGCCGATCCGCCGTTGCCCATGTTGAGCGACGATCCGGTGCCAGCATGCGGCTGGGGAGCCACGGCGGCCGACGTGGTGAAGTAAGGATGTCGGAGCGCCTCGTCGGCGCTGATGCGCTGCGTGGGGTCAAACTTGAGCAGCTTCTCCAGAAGGTCGATGGCCAGCGGGTGCGCCGTCGGGAACATCTGCTGGAAGGGAACTTTGAACAGGCGAGGGAAGGGTCGGATCTGGATCTCGGGCTGTGCAGGCGGCGCGGAAAGTGATGGAGAGAGACAAGCGGGTGTGGGCAGTCAGAGGGACGGAGATGAGAGAGTGTAAGCGACGGTACCAGGATCAGCAGCGCCATGCCACGCAGCAGCGCGGCATCATCGTCCATGGGCGGCCACATACCGAGTCGTTGACCAGCCGCTTCATGGTAGCGTCGTCGGGGGTGCCGAGCACCTTGAGGATCTGGGTGAGCTGGTCGTTGTTGTCGCGACCGCGGAAGAGGGGCACGCCGGTGATCATCTCTGCCATGATGCAGCCGGCGCTCCAGATGTCGATGCTGGTCGAGTAGGTGCGGCTGCCCATGAGGACGTCGGGGGCGCGGTACCAGAGCGTGACGACCTCGTTGCTGAAAGTGTTGACGGGTATGCCGAAGGCGCGTGCGAGGCCAAAGTCTGCGAGTTTGAGCTCGCCGCGCTTGTTGATGAGGAGGTTCTGGGGCTTGAGGTCGCGGTGGAGGACGCGGTTCTCGTGGCAAAAGGCGGTGCCCTTGAGCAGCTGGAACATGAAGCTGCGTACGGTGGTGGGGTCGAGCGCGCCGCGCTTGCCGTGGATGTCCATGTACTTTTTGAGGTCCTGCGCCATGAACTCGAAGACGAGCATGAGCTTGGACTCGGTGTGGATGACGTCGTAGAGGCGAACGATGTTGGTGTGGCGGAGCTCCTTCATGAGCGAGATTTCGCGGATGGCGGTCGAGGGGGTGCCCTCCTCGGCATCTAGGTGGATCTCCTTGAGCGCGACAATCTCGTTGTTGAGGCGGGAGCGCCCCTTGTAAACGGTGGCGTAGGTGCCTTCGCCGAGCTTTTCAAGCTGGACGTAGTTCATCGTTGCCCAGGCCGTGGGGGGGAAGAGAGGAAAGAGAAGGGCTGCTGCTGCTGCTGCTGCTGCTGCTGCTGCTGCTGCTGCTGCTGCTGCTGCTGCTGCTTGCGAGGCGGTGCGGAGATGCGGTTGGTGGAAGTGAGGAGCGGAAGCAGAGGAAGCAGAGGAAGCAGTGGAAGCAGAGGAAGGAGAGGGAGCCGTGCTGCTGCGAAGAAGGCGGGAGTGGCGGAGGTGAAGGTGAGTTGCCAGGAGGATCCAGGCCGTATCAACTCCACCTTGCCGTGGCTTGGCTGACTTGCTGGTGCTCGCTGCTGGCGTTGGCCCGCACGCGCCCGCCCGGGCAGCAGCTGAGCAGGTGTCGGGTCTGGCCTCCGAGTCCAACACCGAGCACGCACGCTAGACCGGCCAGGGGGCGGCTGTGGCCCTTGCATGCCCGCCTGCCCGACAATCGGGCCGCGGTTGGCTGCAGATGGGACTACTGGTCGGCTGGCTGGCTTATGCAATGCTCTGTCAGCCAGCCTGGCCTGGGCCCGACGAAATTTTGGGTGGGCAGGCCTGCAGGCAGGCAGAAGAAAAAACCTGCTGGGCCAGCCTTCTCTCTCTCCTGAGCCGTCAGCCGGCAAGGCAGCCAGGCACGCAGCAGCAACCACCGAGAAAAAAAAGTTGCGAAGATCCAGTTCACGTTGCTGCCTGGCTGCTCCTCGTCTCCGGCCAGGACGCAATCCACGCCAACACCACCACCTCCTCTCCACGTCTCAGGGCCATCGTCGCCTCGTCTCTCCTCTCATAGACACTCGGACGCTGCCTCTGGATCATCATTCTGCGAAGCTCTCAAGTCGCCGCAGCAGATCGCGTCCAAAAGCCGCTTTCCAACTGAAAAGGCTGCCCCGCACTTGGCCCCCTCTCTTCGCTGCTCGCTCCTCCTTGTCCTCGACCGCAATCCCAACCACCACCAAAGCGGACATCGCGCTTGCCGATCCACCGATATGCCCAGAAACAAGCCTCAAAAGGCTGCAAAGTCGGGCAAGCTGTCCACCAGCACCCTCAACCAGCCCCTGCTGCCGTCCTCGGGCGCCACCGCCGCCTCGACCGCCTCGTGCTCCTTTTCGCCCGCGCCCGAACACGGTCTCTTCGCCCACATCTCCAACCAGGTCCACCAGCAGAGGCTCAAGGTCTACAACGCATCTGCATCGGCCGCCGAACAGACGCAGCTCGTCACCGACTACCTCCTCCAGCAGAGCGGCGCATCCTGCCTCTCGTCGCGATGGGTCCGCGTTCACGCCTCGCCCGCATCGGGCTCGCCATCAAAGGCCTCCAAGAAGCGCAAGCAGTCGCAGGACGGCACCCCGCGTACCGACGAAGCTGAGTCCACAAGCACCCAGCTGCTCCTCGCTCTTGGCCTCTCCTCGGGGCAGATCCACCTCTTCTCGCCCTCGCTCGCCAAGGCCGTCGCCATCCTCGACGCTAGCTCCGCCGCCGGCAGCGGCACCTCGGCCGCCGCCAATGCCGGCGTCGTATCGCTCAGCCACGCCGAGCGCGAGCGCATCCTCTTTGCCTGCTCCAAGAACGGCTGGGTCTCGACTTTTGCCACCGCTGGCCTCCAGACTGGTGCCGACCCGACGCCCATCAAGCCCGTCTCGTCCTTCCGCCCGGACCCCAAATCGGCCGTCCAGACCGTCTCGGCCCTCGGCAGCCACCTCCTTGCCGCCCACCACAGCATCACGCTGGTTGACAGCAGCAGCCCCAGCGGCAAGGCCAGGGCCTCGTTCACCGGCCACGCCTCTCCCGTCACGCACCTCGAGTGGATCGATGCCAACTCGTTTGTCTCGGCCGCGGAGGGCGACCGCGTCATCTACGTCTGGTCCTACGAGCCCAGCAGCACCGGTAAGGTGGCTCAGGGCAAGCCCGTGGCCACCGTGGCACTCGACGCCCCCGTCCGCTGCATCGCCGTGTCCAAGCAGGCGGCATTGGGATCCAGCATTGCCGTCAGCGGCGGCGATGACGGCGAGCAGCGTCTGCTCATCGTCGTCGTGACCCAGAGCGGATCCGTCCGCATCTACGGTCTTCCCGATGCGTCGTCCTCCACGCAGCAGGCCGCAGGGACCAAGAAGGCCAAGGCGTCGGTCCTGCCGGCGCTCGAGCTCGTCTCTCAGTTCCAGGGCACCTCGTCCGAAACCGAGTGGCTCGACGCGCGGTTCCTCGACACCAGGGCCGGCCAGGCTGACGGCGTCGCCGACCGGCTCCGGCTCGCCCGGCTCGTCCGCGGAGCCAAAGTCGTCATTGAGGATGTCTCGATCCTCGACGCCAAGACCGGCCTCGTGCGCAAGTCGATCGAGTTCTCGAGGTCCTCGGGCACCAAGAGCCTGTCTGCGGGCAACGGCCTGCTTAGCGCCAACGCCGACGATGCGCAGCTGACGGGCGGGTCGGCGCAGACGCAACGCTACGTCGAGCCGCCGACGAGGATGTCGAGCGCGGCGGACGTGGCGACGGCGTCGCTGCGCGAGGCGGGGCTGGTGGGTGACGAAGAGATGCCGGTCGCCTCGGCCACTGGCGACGAGCCGACGCTGGCGCAGCGCCTCAACGGTCTGGGCTTCAAGGACCACGGAGACGGCGGCGGCGACGACGACGACGAGCCGGGTGCCGGCGGGCAGAGGCGCGGGACAGGCGGCCTGGTGAGCGAGGCGTCGCTGTGGTCGTCGCTCTCGCAGGCGCTCCACTCTGGCGACACGTCGCTGCTGACCAACTGCCTCAACCACAACGATGCGGGCCTGATCCGGGCTACGGTGCGTGGACTGTCCGGCCCGCTGGCCGTCAAGCTGATCGAGGAGTGCGTGGCGCGCCTCAACGGAGCCGGCGGGTCTACCGCGTCGAAGGGCACGCTAGGCAGCCAGCGCGCGCGCTCGTTGATCGAGTGGATCCGCTCTGCGCTGCTGATCCACATGGGCTACATGATGAGCCTGCCGCACCTCGTGGGGCGGATGTCGAGCTTGCACAGCACGCTGTCTGCGCGGATCGCGACGCACGAGCGCCTCCTTGCGCTCAATGGGCGGCTGGAGCTGGTGCTTTCGCAGATTGAGGCGCGGGCTGCGTACGTCGAGCAGGCGGCGGCGCGCAATGGGCAGGCTCCGCAGGTGCAGGGCGTCAAGTTCAGCCAGCAGCGGAGCAAGGCGGCGAGCACCAAGGCGCAGCAGCAGCAGGCGGCGGGCAAGGCTCCGATCGACGAGCGCGCACGGAGGGAGGGCAAGAAGTGGGTCGAGGAGAGCGACGACGACGACGACGACGACGAGGGCATGGACGTCGATGCGACGGGCATGATTGTGCGGGGCGACGACGACGAGGACTCGGACGCCGACATCCAGGACATTACCCTCGGCGCCGAGGACGACGACGACGAGGATGACGACGACGAGGATGACGACGAGGACGAGATTGTCGTGAGGAGGCGGAGATCGAGGGCCAAGGCTGCCGCGGCCGATGGCAACACGTCGGCCGAGTCTGCCGACGAGGATGAGGACGACGAAGATGATGATGAGGACGAGGACGACGATGAGGAGGACGATGAGGACGACGACGACGACGAAGACGACGACGACGCAGAAGACGAGAGCGATCTCGAAGAGGAGGGCGCAAGCGACCTAGAGGTGAGTACGCGGTAGTCACAGCGGCGAGCCGGCCGCGGGCCGAGTGGGAGCTCTGGGACCGCCTGTGCATGGCTGACCACGACGACCGCCCTCTTCCCTGCTCCACGACGCACCAGGACGATGATGAGGACGACGAAGACGACAGCGAGGGCGGTGGGCCCAATGGCATGTTTGACCTCGAGGCCGAGGAGGGCACAGACGAGGACGACGAGGACGACGAGTGAGGCGGCCATCGCTGCGAGCCGTTGGACGTCTGTGGCCCTCGTGTCGCGACGCTGTTGGCCGCAGCCCCTGCAATCTTTTCTATCTTATCACCTGCTCAATTGACCGTTATCGTCGGACTGTGCTGTGCTTCTGCTGACCTCCCGGTCGTGGCGAAGGAAGGTGGACGTGCACTGAAACTTGAGGTCAAGAACGACGACTGGCCGTACCGGTAGACGGGTCTGGAAGAAGCGGCGTCGCCCGTCGGAGCTTTCCGCGTTTCCCCCCCACGTTTTCTTCCATGCCCTGGCTGGCTGGCTGCTGGCGGCGGCCCTCGCGAGGCGAGGCGGAAGGCGGGCGAGCGGCAGGGAGGGGGAAAAAAATATCCGCCGTGGCCCGGAGCGCCTGCCTGGCCTGGCTTGGGGCTGGCTGGCTGGGCTGGGAAAAATTGGGCCAAGGCAGGCAAATCGGGAAGAGGCTTCCGCCCGCCCGCCCGCTCACTCGCCCAGCTCGAGCCAGGCCAACCAGGCCAAGCCAAGCCAAGCCAAGCTGAGGATCCGACCGAGCTCGACCCTCGCAGAGCAGTGCAGAGAGCGCAGGCCAGGGCCGCCGAGGCCGAGCCCCGTCCGTCGCCGCCTCCGCCGCCGCCGCTGCCGCCGTTTTGCCGGTGATGCTGGAATTCCAACACCCAACGGCGCGCGATCACTGGCCGTCACCACCAGCTCCACCCTCACCACCGCACCCCGACCCTCCTCACCATCACCACCATCACCAACACCACCGCCGCAACCACCACCGCTCCGCCTCCTCGTCTTTCCCTCACCTCGTCTACCTTCACCTCGCCCCCCCGGCCCACACCCTCGCCATGTTCCGACTCGCCGCCTCGACGCTGGCCCGGCCCCTCTCGCGGTCGGGCGCCGGTGCCGCCTCGTTTTCCACGAGCGCGCTCCGCCGCTCGTACGAGGACACCATCAAGAACCTCATGATCAACAAGGACTCCAAGGTCATCTGCCAGGGCTTCACCGGCAAGACGGGCACCTTCCACTGCCAGCAGGCGCTCGAGTACGGCACCAAGCTCGTCGGCGGCGTCAGCCCCAAAAAGGCCGGTCAGACCCACCTCGGCCTGCCCGTCTTTGGCAGCGTAAAGGAGGCCGTCCGCGAGACCCAGCCCCACGCCAGCGTCCTCTACGTGCCCCCGCCCGGCGCCGCCGATGCCATCATCGAGTCGATCGAGAACGAGGTGCCCCTCATCGTCTGCATCACCGAGGGCATCCCCCAGAAGGACGAGATCCGCGTCGCCGCCGCCCTCCGCTCCCAGTCCAAGTCCCGCCTGGTCGGACCCAACTGCCCCGGCGTCATCAACCCCGAGGGCTGCAAGATCGGCATCATGCCCGGCCACATCCACACGCCCGGAAAGATTGGTGAGTCGAGGCCGTTTCTCGCTGCGACGCGCCTCGTCGCTTTCCTCGCCCCGACGCACCGACTGACGGGCTGTTTGTCTGTCCACCCGCAACCTCGGCCTACCCCGCCTTCGACCCTGCTACCTGTGCCTCTGCCCCCTGCCCCTGCCCCTGCCCCTGCCCCTGCCTCTGCCTCTGCACCGCAACCCCCATAGGTATCGTCTCGCGATCCGGCACGCTGACCTACGAGGCCGTCAACCAGACGACGCTCGTCGGGCTGGGCCAGTCGATCTGCGTCGGCATCGGCGGCGACCCGTTCCCGGGCTCGACGACGCTCGACGTGGTCAAGTACCTGCTCGAGGACGACAAGTCCGAGGGCCTGGTCCTCATTGGCGAAATCGGCGGCAGCATGGAGGAGGACGCGGCAGAGTACCTGGAAAAGTACAACAAGACGCGCGCCAACCCCAAGCCCGTCGTCGCCTTTATTGCCGGCAGGACGGCCCCGCCCGGTAGGCGCATGGGCCACGCCGGCGCCATCATCAGTGGTGGAAAGGGAGGCGCCGACGACAAGGTCGCCGCCCTCACCAAGGCCGGCGTCATTGTCGCCGACAGCCCCGCCAAGATTGGCGCCCTGTGAGTTTGTCGTGTGGGGCGCTCGGGCTGCGCTGCCGTCATCGTCGTCGTCGCGGCGTGGTCGCGGCGTCGTAGCGTCGTCGAAAAGGCAATGTGCCCAGTCCGCTGACCCTCGCTCGGATCTTCTTCTTTCTCCCCCGCTTCGCTGCGCTCCGCGCCCCCCCTCACCCCACAGCATGAAGAAGGCCATGCAGGAAGCCGGCCTTGCCTGAACGGCATCAGGACGACGACGACCCGCCCGTTCCTCTCTTATCTCTCTCTCGTTCTCGCTCCAGCCCCACACCCTTGTAAAGCCACAACCAGCCCAACCCCTACCTTGCTCAGTCCGAGCGTCGGTCGATTCGATCAATGGCGGCCCAGCCTAGCCCGCTCGGATCCGATGTCATCGGCAAGACCTAAAGCGAAATAGATCCCCCCCAAGACCCTATCGCGAGCCGGGATAGTCTCTGTTGTGCATGCGATCCAGAGGGGGAAAAAGGGTCCTGGTGCGGGGTGCGGCGAGGACCAGATAAGGTCGAGGGGGAGACGAGACTGAAGGAGGGAGGGGCTAGAGGGATTGGGTATACGATGCTGGGAAACTGGACGATTTCGATGTTGAGCAACGGGGATCGCGGTTCGGGGTGGGGAGTAAAAGTGTGGAGGAGGGGACACGAAAGAAGGTCAGAATCAGCCCGGCCTCCCTTCGACTCCAGCTCGTCGAGCAAAACCAACGCGGCGCGCGAGCCCCGGCGGTGGGGGAAACTCACATTCCAATGCGGCTGCCCAATCCGCCGACCTCGACACGACCCTGCCACCAGTCGTCGCGCGTCCTCGTCTTTTTCGTGACGCCAATCACCTGTCCCCTCTGGAAGCCCAGATCGCCCTCTTGCTGCGCCTCAAAGTCGTACAGCGCCACCACCCTCTCTATCACCCGCGGCTCCCCCTCCCCCTCCCCCCCCTCGTCGTCGTCCCGTCCATTTGCGAAGAAACCATTGCCCGCGCCCCCACCGTTACCACCAAAGTAATCTCCCTCCCTACCTCCACCACCACCACCGTTGCTGCTGCTCGTGACAAAGTCGTCGTCGTCGCCAATGAGGTTGACGTCGTCGCCGTGGCTTTCCGGTATCGTCGGCGTCGTCCCGCTTCGAGATGCGATCCCGGATCGTCGTCGTGTCGATGTGGGCGACGTCGAGATGCCGGCAGACGACGGGCTCGCCGTCGGTTGCGGCACGTTGGTGGCGCCCAGCGTCGAGATGCCGCGCATCGTCGATCCCGCATAGCCCCCGTCCCACTTGGGCTGCAGCTGCGGCGTCCGACCTGCCCCAGGGCCCGTGCCCGTCCACTTCCGCTCCAGGCCGGCCGTCAGATCCGCAAATGGATCCGAGGTTGCAGTCGAGCCTTCGCGGGCCTTCCTCGCACCGCCGAACAGATCGTCATCGGCAAAGTCACCGTGGCGACCGCCGCCAAAACCGTTGCCGTCGCCATCGCCGTCGCCCGAGTCAAACGTCGACCACCCATGCCGACCCGTGACCGACATGCTCGAGTTGGTGCGGTGCTGCCGGAACGGCGATGCCGACGATGACGCCGTCGCCGACGCCGGCGCATCAAACAAGGCTCCGCTGTTCAGCGGTCCACCGTAGCTCGGACTGCGGCCAGAGTGCGAAGGGCGGTACGACGAGCCCCTGTAGCCCGCACTGCTGCTGCCGCCGCCACCGAAGCTGCCGCTCTGCAGCTCCCTGTCCAACGAGTCTAGCGGCTCTCGCTGCGCGCTGCGCCTGCCGCCGAGGTCGACGTCGACGTCGACGTCGGCACCGCTGCTGTCCGGGATGGGCGTGGATCCGGTCCGTTCCGACTTTTTCCTGCCAAAGCTGCCGAAGCTGAGGTTGCTTGCGATGCTCGACGAGCGCTGGCGGATCCCTGGTCGCTTGCGGACCGACGCGCCCGAGCCCGTCCGAGGCGGGGCATTGGAGATGGACGATATGGGCGAGCCGAACGCGTAGCTGCCGAGGTTGCGCGTCTCGGCCTCGTTGCGTCGCCGCCTGTCGGCCTCGGTCCAGCTCTCGGAGCTGCGGCGCGGCGGGTCCGAGATGCCAAGGCGGTCAAAGTCGTCTTCCAGCAGGTCCGACGCGTGCTTGCCGGTGCCCTGCTTGCGCGATGCTCCCGAGGCGCCGCCGTTCTGGTACTGCTCCCTCCGCTCGCTCCAGCTCATGCCCGCCGCAGTGCTGGCGGCCGCTGCACTTGGATCCCTCGAGTGGAGTGAGTCGCTGTCGAGGCTGTCGCGGTCGCGGTCCCGATTTCTGCCGCTGCCTTGCGGTCGGTCGCGGCCGCGATCGCCATAGCGGAAAAAGTCTTCATCGTCGTAGGGGTTGTGGTCGAGGTCGCCTACTGGGGTGTGTGCGAGCGTGAAGCGTTCGATGGTGCTGATGAGTCCCTGGGCAAAGGCGGGCACGTCTACGCTGCCGGAGAGGATCTGTTTTGCCGTGTGGCCGTTGCGACCGTAGGCCTTTCCGTTTGCGTCTTCGCGGTCGATGAGTACGGTGCCCTCTACGGATACGCCGCCGTAGAGGCCCTTGCTTCGGCTGTAGCTGAACATGGCTGCGAGCTTTCCGGAGCTGTTTACGGAACCGCTGGCCTCTGCGGACCTGCCGAGGGGCCCGACGGCGAGGCTGAGGTTTCCGCCGAGCTGGAGGGAGCCGGTGGCCATAAAGGAGCGTACTGCGGAGCGCGAGTTGAGTACGATGAGGAAGTCGGTGACCTCTGCGCCGACGTTGAAACCGCCGCCGAGGCCGCCGATGCCGATGGCTGCGGGAGCGGACCACTTGCCATCGTCGGTCTTTACGATGACGACGCCGCTGCCTGCGCGAGCCGAGAGGACAAAGCCGATGCGGAAGACCGAGAAGATGGCGAAGCCCTTTGCCTTGCGAAGGACGCTGAGGGGGAGCACCCTGTCGAGGCCGTTTACGGGGTCGACGAAGTCGTTTAAGATCTGGGGAGGGGGGTAGGGGAGGGAAGGCTAGGCGTGTCAGATTGGAGAGCGAAGAGGGACGTGCAAGGGGGGGCAAGGGGCGCTGATCCTCACCTGCGTCGCCTTTCTGCACTCCTGGGAGAGCGAGACGGGGATGGGGTTGCCCATGGTGGGGCCGGTGCGGGAGTGTTAGGATGGGTGCGGATTGGAAAGGGGTGATGATTCGAGGTGAGGGGCAGCGAGGGCGAGGGGTGGTTGGTTGCAGTGATGATGGCGAGCGAGTGAGGAAGAGAGAGAGAGTCGTGGTGGTGGTGGTGGTGAGGGCTGTCTTGTCTCTGGCTCTGGATTTGGTTTGGGCAGGCCGAGGATGTGATGAGGGTGAGGCAGGGCGAGGTGACGACGACGAGGGGAGCCAGAGTGACGAGGGGCGCGGACCCACGGTGCAAAAGCAGGCCTGCCAGCCGGCTTGGCGTTCCCGCTGCTGCTCCGGCCGCAAAGACGAGGTGGAGGCCTGCCCTGCCTCGCCTCACTCTCCGTCACCCCCGCCGGCTTTGGCTTCGGAGTTGGGCTGCCGAAACGGCCATCGGGTTGGCTCGCTTCAGGTCCAATCGGGTGCCATCATGCCGATGATTTTTGGCCCGATACGGCTCGCTGCCAGCCTGGGATCGGCGATGCCAGGGAGCCCCTTAGCCTGCACCAGCCTCGACTGGCCCGCATCGATCTGCAGCCCAAACGCAGCCGTGGCCTGCCCAGCCACCAGCATCCGGCACCACGCGCCTTCAAGTCACCTGCCAGACTGTGTGGCTCGGTTGGTCTGCTCGCTGCCCCTCTTGAGTACAACTGGCTTGCTCTGCGCCGCGTTGCATCGTCGCTCGAGTGCTTGCCAGGCGCGACGAGTGCTTGACCATCAAGGGCCGGACGAGGTCGAGGGAGAGATGCAGGCAGCCACCGCCCGTCGCCGAGGTCGGGATGCCCCGTGGCTGGCAGGCTTGCAGGCCACCCAACCACGGCGGCATTTTTTCTATTTCCGAGCGGGTGGGGCGCGCTCGGCAGGCCCAGAGGGGCGCGGGCTGCAGGCAGGCCCCGCCCAGAGTTTGAGAAACAAAAGCAGCCGGGCACGGCACCAAGGCGGGACGGTCGGGCAGTCGGGCTGCCAGCCAGCCAGCCAGCCAGCCAGTCGAGCCAAGCCAGCTTTCGACACACAACCACACACGCTCTGCCCCTCGTGCAACCGCCCTCGCCTCGCCGCCTCGCCTCGCAGGGCTCGCACACAGCCTGCCTCTCGGCTGCCCTCGTACCACCACCACCAACCACCACCTCGATCATCGCCACCACCATCACCACCCGCCCGACCTCTGCACGCCCATCATCCTCGCCTTCGTCGCCGTCGCCGTTTATCCAAGCCACCACCGCACTCTGGCACCTCCAACATCCTTTTCCAGCTGGCTGGCTCCCATCCACCCTTTGATTCTTCCGCCCCGCACATCCACCCACACCACCTACACTCGTTGCCCCTCAGCCACCTCGGTCGCCGCACGGCCCGACCATTCACCCGCCGCCTCGTTCCGCTCGGTCCGCCCATCATGAAGATTGCCATATCCACTCTCTTGCTGCCAGTGCTCGCGCTCGCATCCTCCGCAGCAGCACAGCAGCAGCAGCAGCAACAAAAACAGCCCTCACCACAGCAGCGCAGTCTCGGCCAAGACCGGCTAGACGCTCCCCTCGCCGCCGCCGCCGCCGACCTCCTCCCACGCTCTCAGCCCGCCCGCAGCACCCGCCGCGGCCCAACAAGAACACAAAAGGTCGTAAAGCGACAGGCACAGTACCAGTACATCGCAGACGAAGCACCAAATGACCCCGTAAAGGCCGCACAGGACATACAGACCATCCCCGGCGTGCCCAACGCAAACTCGCCCGTACAGACCGACGCCCTCATCGTACAGGGCGACGGCAACACCGCCAACCCGCCCGGCCTCGAGCAGGTCCCCTTTGTCGCCACACCGACCGCCACCGACCTCGCACAGCAGCTCGGAATCACCGACGGCGACACCGCCTGGCAGGCGCTCCCCGACCTCGAGGGCTTCACCCTCAACCGCACCTTTGTCGCCTACCAGGGCCTCATCATGCCCTTCTACATCACCAACAACTACCAGCCCGGCGCCGACAACAGCGCCATCAAGCGCGTCATCATGACCATGCCCGGTAAGCCCAGGGACGCCTGGAACTACGCCAACCTCTTCCGCAACGCCCTCTCCGTCGCCGCAAACAACCCCGCCAACGGCGTCAACCCGGCCGAGGTCGCCATCCTCGCCCCCGCCTGGATGAACCAGAACGACAAGTCGGCGGGCGCCGTCGGCCCCAACGAGCTCTACTTCCACGGCTCCCAGTGGCAGCGCGGCGGCAACTCGAGAAACGAAAACGTCAAGCCCGGCATCAGCACCTACGCCGTCATGGACAACCTCACCGACTGGCTCTTCCTCTCGGGCGAGTTCCCCAACCTGCACCAGGTCGTCGTCGGCGGCCACTCGATGGGCGGCCAGGCCACCCACCGCTACGCCCTCCTCAAGAAGCGCAAGTCGTACGACCCCAACATGCAGTACTGGGTGGGCAACCCGGGTTCGTGGGCGTGGATCGACGGCGAGCGCCCCTACGCCAACGCCTCGTGCGGCGGCGTCGACGTCTGGCCCTACGGGCTGGGCAACTACTCGGCCATCCCGCGCTACGCCCGCTACGACGTCAAGGACGGCCACGACGAGGTGGTGCAGCGCTACCTGGGGCGCAAGGTGCACTACGCGCTCGGCCTGCTCGACACGGGTGCCGGTGACACGCACTGCGAGGCGCTGACCCAGGGCGGCAGCCACTTGGACCGCGGTTCGCAGTTTGTCATGATGCTCGGCCGCCAGGCGGGTGGCTTCCCCTCGTCGCACTCGCTCGATGTCATCGAGGGCACCTCGCACCAGGACTACCCCATGATCCGCGCCGACAAGTCGGTGGCGCGCATCTTTGTGGCCGACTACAACACCAGCTACCCCTCGCTCACCGACACGTCCAACCCGGGCGACAAGACGGAAAAGACAAAGGCGACCAAGCTGCCCAACGGCAAAAAGGCCTTCGCCACGCCCGCCCACGAAAAGGCGGCCTGGTCGCTCCTCGGCGGCAGCCTGGCGCTGGTCGCCATCTTTTTCACCGTGCTGCCCTGGATGTTCCGCGCCAACCTGGACAAGTACGAGTCGCAGGGCTGGGAGACGGAGAGCAAGCGCAAGCTGCTCTGAGCCGGCGGTCGTGCCGTCCGCCATCTGTCCGCCCTTTGCACCATCCGATTCCCTTTAGCACGCCCATGCGCGTACAGGCTCGACCCCTCTCCCGCGCGCAGCCGATGCCCTCTCGCTCTCTTTCTCTCTCTCTCTCGTTCCAAGCCGCTCTTGTCGCCGTCGCATCGAACAATCAGTCAGTCTGCCGTTGGACGCCCCCCTCCGCTCCTTTTCTCCCGTCTGCCCCCCAACGCCACGCCACGCTTCGCCGCTTTCAGTGTTGATTCTTATCATCGTTCGTTGTCATCGATACACTCGCTTCGCTCACTACGGCACCAGCCAGCTAGCCCGACCTGGGCTGAATCGGGTCGGGCCGTCGTCGGATCTCTCGCTCGTTCCCCCTTCATCTTTGCGCGCGTGTCTTATCGGAAGCAGTTCCTTCTCCCTCGCGAGGCTTGACACAGCGACGGCACTGGATGCCGCGCAGCTCGGATCCATCTGCCTCCATCGGCTGCTCTCGACGAACACGAGGCTGGAGGCGGGACGGTATCGTGCACCGGCGCTCATTGGCCGTTGCTTCACCCGCAAAAGAGTAGGCAGATTATGTTCGTATTCATTCTCAGAGCAAGCGGGGGAGAAGGGCATATCGTGTATGACGCAAAACAGAGGAGGAGGGGGGTATCGCTCGGAACGATCAAGCTACGTGCTACCACGGAAGACATGGCTAGAAGCCAGTGGAGCGGTCGCTGGAACGGTTGATGTAGGCGTCCTCGTCGTTTCTCGAGCTGCCGCTTCCGTAGCCCGCTCCGCCAACGCCGCCGCCGCCGCCGCCGCCGGTGGATGAAAACTTGTTACGGTCGTCGACGTCGTTGCTGCCGAACTGGCCGCGCGAGCCGTCGTTGCCGAAACCCGTCTGGTTGTCGCGCGAAAACGAGTCGCCCGCTGCGTTGCGGCCGTATCCGCCTTCGTTGACCGTCGACTGTGCGTGGCGTTGATGGTGGAGGCGAGGTGAGGTGAGGTGAGGTGAGCGAGAGAGGGAGGAAGGAAGGGGCAGGAGCCAAGGCGTCGTCGCCACTACTCACGTCGTTTCCGTACGGTTCGTTACCGCGCGATGCACCGCCAGCACCGGCGCCGCCGCTCGAGAAGGTGTTGTCGCTGGCGTAGCGGCTATCGTTGTCGCCGGCCAGACCGTACTGACCGCCCTGGGCGCCACTCACGCCCGAGCGGCCCTGACGCGCCCCCGCCGCGCCGTCTTCGACATTCGAGAATCCCGTCCCATCGCGTCCAGCACCACCGCCACCGCCACCGACGCCGGCGCTGCTGCCAAAGATGTCGTCGTTCCGCTGGTTGCGGCCCGAGTAGCCCTCGCCGCCCAGCCCACCGGAGTGGGTACCGGCGCTACCTTCGTTGTTGCGTCGGAAGGTGTCGTCCGACGACGAAGAAAGGCCGCCGCCGCCGCCGGTCGTGTACTCGTCGTTGCGTCGCAGCGTGTCCCCGCCCGCCGCATTGGCGCGGTTGGAAGAGGAGCTGTACTCGTTTTCCCTGCTAAACTCGCTCGTCGCCCCTCCTCGTCCACCTCCCGTCGAACCGTACTGGTTGTTGTCCGAGGAAGAGTTGTAGTTGTTGTTGCTGGTGTTGTTTCCGGTTGAGGCGGACCAGTTGTCGCGTCCCTGCTCGCCCGACGTGAAGCCAGCGCCGTTGTTGGACGACGACGAGTAGGTGTTGTCGTTGTTGCCGTATCCACCGCCCGAGGAGGACGTGGTGGTGGTGGAATTGTCGTAGCTCTCGTTGCTGTTATCGCTGTTCTTGCTGCCCATGACCTTGTCCTTGAGGTTCTGGCCCTTTTCAGAGTGGGCAAACTCCTTGGCCTTGTTGATCAGAGAAGACATGGCGGGTCGTACGTGAGTTGGTGAGTTTGTGTGCGTGCTGTGGTGGTTGGAGATAGAGATGTGGTGTGAGAGTGCAGTGAAGGGCAGCGAGGCTGGAAGGAGTGGGATCTATATATGTCTTGCAGGCGGGGGCCGAGGGGTGCGAGGGCGGCAGGGGGGGCATACGGAGCGTGTGTCTTGGGTCTCGGCATGGCCAGGCCTCTACTACCGCCTGCACTCTCTGAGTCCAGCCTTGTGTGGCGAGGAGGCAAAAGGCAAGGCACGGGCGGGGGGCTTTGGCGTGGCTGGCTCGCCCGCGGGGCAATGAGTTCATACCACAGTCACGACGGCTCGAGGCCGCCGCCTGTCAAGCAACGCCCCGGCAGGTGGCAGCGTGGAGGAGGCAGGCAGGCAGGGTCGCGGTGCACGCGGTGCACGGCCCCCAACACAAACGGGCGGCAGCGTTGCGGTATGACGTCCGACCCTCCGTCGTTGCCGGCCGGCCTGCCTGTCTGCCTGACCTCGCCACGCCCGCCACGCTAGGGCCAGGCCAGGCCATCGCATCGCATCGCATCGCCCTTGCCCTGTCCTCGTCTCGACTGAGGTGCACTGCCCCCTGGACCCCCGTCATCAGACCCTGTGCCCAACACAGCCAGGCCTACCGGTACCAGCCAGCCGGCCAGCGGGCAGGCCCACGAGCATGACCGTCTGGTGCCACACCTTGGCTTCTTCTTTCTTCCTCTTCCTGCTCCTCCGACGACAACGGCGGCCGTCATACATGTTGTCCCGTTTCCCACGCCCGACGTCATACATCCTCCCTTCGGCCCAGCCTAGCCTGCTGCTCGACTGGCCTCCGCATATCTCCCCGTTGTTTTCGACGTGCATCTCACCCCGTCTTCGCATACGGTAGGTACAGCCTGGCCGTACAGTACACCGCCACCTTTCATCGCCCGCTCGGCCAGGCCATGGCACCGTCTTGTTCCGCCCAACGCAAGGCAACCTCTTACCGATAGCTCGTCGACCGTGCGTATCAAGTGTACTTCCTCGCCCCACATGGCCATGGCCGGCTCATCTCGAGATAGATCTCGCCTCGGATATCGTGGCGCCGTGTTGCCACAAACACAACCTCTCTCTGTCTAGCGATGGGTGGATGGCGCAGACGCACCGACAGCGACAGCGACAGCGATAGGGCACAGCATGACGGCATCCGTTGCACCACGATCCCCGTCTCTCTCTTGTCCGACTTCGCCTTTCTACTTGCCACTCCGCTGCGCCGTACCCGACAACGACGGCGATGACCCGCCGGTAGACGACATGAGGCGCCGCAGCAGCAGCGACGACGTCGACCTGCGCAGCCTCTTCAGCGTCGACGTGCTGTCCTTTGTCCCGGCGCCTTCCTTGAACGAGGGCGACGGCGATGGAGAAGCGGGAGGCGAGGGTGTATCCCGACTGTCACTACTGTCACTGCGCCGGACGGGCGCGACGTCTTCGCTCTTGCTGCCCCTGCTGCTCGCACCGTCCACGGCGTCCGTTGCGCCCTCGCTGCTCGTTCTCGTCCTCAGCCATCGCGGTCGACGATGTGATGATGGCGTAGCGTCCACGCTGTGCGTCACGCGCATCAGCGACGATGCCCTCCATAGGCCCTTGGTCGTCGTCGTCTGCGACGCCGCCGCCGCCGAGGCTGCCGCTGGTGCTGTCTTTACGGTGTCCGAAGCCTTGACGACAGAAGGATTCGGATGACGATCCGACCGGGTGTGGTCGTCGTTGCCGTGTTCCTGAGCGCTCCGTCGCGAGCCGGTCCCACCGCCCTCGTCGGCACGCACCGACCCCACCGTCTCCGTGCGCCTCGACAGGCTCGGTCTCTTTGATGATGCGCCCGGCGAGGATGAAGATGGGGTCGAAGCTGCGTCCTTCTCTCTTCGTCCGTCGTAGAGCACAACGGTCCTCCGCTCCTGCTGCTGGTGCTGGCTCTGCTGCGGGGACCACCTCGAGGGCGTGGGGGCGTCCAGCGGCGAAGGTCCGACGACGAGGATCTGCGGAATCCCCTGCGTGTCGAGACACGGACTACCCTGTGCTGCCAGCTCGGGACTGCTCTGCGCCCGGTAGGTCGTCGATGCCACGACAGTGGCGGCGACAACCCCCTCCATCGCAGATGTCGTCGTCGTCGTCGTCGTGTCCTCTTCCTCGTGATCCGCGCTGCTGGTCGATACAGCCTCGACGTGGGCAAAGTCGATCTTTGCTCCTCGAGCTGCGACCTGCGTGTTGATGGACGGTAGGTGGGCGGTCCGACGAGAAGAGAGACTGGGCTTGGACGACGACGGAGACGACGACGACGGCGGCGATGAAGAGGCATGGTCGAGCTGGTGTGTCCCACCGTGGTCAATCAGGGGGTCGGCTCGGTTCGTCTCAGGACTCGAGCATGGCGTCGACGCCTGCGAGGACGACGGCGACGCATCGCTCCCCTGTCCTCCTGTCCGCTCGGATGCCGACGACGAGAGCGAAGACTGCGACTCTTGCGGGCGAGGTTGAGGTCGACCTCCTCCCTGCCTCACCCTCACGCGAGGGCTGTCGGGAGGTGCCGCGGTTGCGGTCGAGGTCGAGGTCGAGTCGGCTGGCCCCTGTATGTGCCACGAGGCATGGCCGTTGGGATCGGAGTAGGGCAGCTTCTGCCTCGCGAGGTGCGCAACGACGTCGACCATCTCAAGGCGCCGCAGACCGAGGAGCGAGTTGATCTCGTCGACCAAGGGCGCATCGCGTTCGACGTCGGCGGACGATATCGTCGAGCCGCTCCCGCGCCGGCCGTAGAGGACCTGGGCCTGGCTCGCCTCGAGCCAGCTGGCACTCTGCGGCGATCCGAGGCTGGTTCGCCGTTCGCTGGTCGTCCCGTTGCTGCCGTTGGCCATGACAGTGCGCGGGCTGGATGATGGCCTGTGGCTGATCCAGCATCGTACCACGTCAGCTAGGACCTTGAGGCTGGTGCTGAGCGTTTCCCCAGACGGCGGCGACGAGGACGATTCACCCCCGTGCGACGGACTCGCAGTGTCGTCGCGGCTCGATGCGGCGGCTTCGGCAGCGGTGGTGATGTAGCAGGTCCCCCTCGAAGTCGCGCCCGATAGGTCAAACGGCCACGCATAGAGCGTCTGGGAAGGGTGGTGGAGGAGGGTGACGGTCAAGGTCGACCTCGACGTGCCGCCGCGAGTGTTGACCAGGGGCCGCGAGATGGCGACGAGGGACCAGTGCCGCTGCCGGTACGTGACCGTCGACGTTGCGACTTTGTCATCGTCGCCGCTGCTTCTGGGGCTGGGGCTGCTGCTGCTTCCTCGTCTGTCCGACGGTATCGCGGGGCTCGGTGGTGCCGGTGGGCTGGTGACGCTACCGGGGCCCTTTGGTCGTCGATGCGGGGAAGTCGAGAGGAAAAAGACGTGGGGCGAGTGGTGTTCCAGCATGGCGGCCGGTCGTTGCAGATGGAGGCCCTCTGCTGCGCCGGGACAGACGGGGAAGAGGAGGGACTTGGAGGGTCGTCGTCGAGATGGCGGCACGAGATATGTATGGATCTGGGCTGCTTGCTATCTCCGTCCGTTTGTCGCGCCTTGAAGAGGGGGCAAGTACGGACGGGAAGCGCCGAGCGAGGCAGGCTCCGTCTTCGTCGAGAGTTGCTAGATGCCGGAGGGGCGGGTGGGCGAAGGCAAGATTGTAACCTTGGCTGGAAAGCTCCTCCGAGCTTGGCAGCGCCGGTGCCAGCCAGCGAAACAAAGGAGAGCATGAGTGGGCGCGACGCCCGCTGCACCGCCGGTTGGTGGGGTTGGGTCCGAGATTGCTGTGCAAGGCAGCCTGGCGGGTCAACGGGCACCGATGTGGACGCCGTCCCGCGCTGCGTTGGCTTCTGATACCTGTCTAGCGGCGCATGGGGTCGAACGGACCGGCGGTAGGAAAGGGGCGGGGTGTGTCAAGGCTGAAATGCGGCGAGCAAGATCAACCGTGCCGCCCTATCCGGTACGGTGCGGTACGCTCGCAGCCAGCCAGACCGCAGCATCATGTCACGACGAGGCGCGGGGAGCGTCACGGAGCTTGACCAAGACGCCGCACCGTACCGATCCCGGGACCGTGCGGCGGATAAGTACCGGCGTCGGCATCGGTGCGCTACCAGAACGGCGGTCGGTCCGTATGGACCGCGCGCCGTTGTGGCGGTTCGGTCCATGCACGCACATCGACTCGCAACCCGGCACAGTTGGCGCTGGCGCTGGCGCTGGCGCTGGCGCTGGCGCTGGCTTCGGCTTCGTCTCGTTGCCCTGAACCCCACCGCGCCCTACGGTGGCAAAGAGACACGTACGCCAAGGGCGTGTCGATCCGGCGTGGAACGACGACAGATTAGTTAGAGACGGAATTGATTCGTCTCGCCTAGGCTCGCACTCGCCGTCCATCGACCGGGACATCTTCTGATCCGCTCCCCCTTCTTCGTTAGAACCTTGACGGTACGACCCAAGGTGGGGGGGCCTTTGAGCGCCATCAGAGGCGAATCTATTGAATCGAGGGGACAAGCGGGGCAAGATCAAGACCGGGAAGGGGATGCGAAACCCTATCCCTATCTTACCATTGCCGTGCCGAGCTAGTGGCGGCGTGACAGGTGGATCCGCGCGTAACCCCTTCCCGCTCCTTCCGCCGGTCCGGCAGCCTCGTTGGGGACGTGTCTCAATATGGCTGCCACCCTCGACCCTGGGCTCTGACCCATCGACCCGTTGTGGATTGCGTGATGAACGCCGCAGCCAGACCATACTGTAGCAGGCCAGGCCATTGGTGCTGCGCCCTCGCACGAGCGAACGTGACCGACCCTCCGACATCGCAACGCCATCCGCTCAGCTCGAATCGCAAAGGGAGCAAGCCGGAAATTCAATGTGAAAAAGTCTTCGCCTGCCCTCGGGCCCGGTCGATGACAACGCGGTCCCACCACCGTACCATCAACCCCGGACCAGCTCGATTAGGCTTCGCTTTTCAGTTGGTCCCTACCCGCCTCAGCTCCAGCCTCAGCCACATACTCTGCCGCGACGGCAGCCGCAGGCGCCGGCGCTGACTTCACCTCTTCAACAGATCGTCCGATGCGCCTGGACGGCGGCTGGATAGAGGGACGGGCGGGACGCGATGACAAGACTCGACTCGACCCGACCCGACACGATCGAAAGCCAAAGCCATAACCTACATGACAAACGACACCCGCCAATGCAAATCGTCGAGCCAATCCATCCTTCATCATTCGTTCGTGTTGTACAAGAGTGCAATACGGCCCCGCCCCCGTCTGATCTGCACCGACGCAATCGCAATCGCAATCTAAATGGACCCAAACGACGTCGAGACACCGCCGCCGCCGGGTGCAGAGACGGAGACGGCAGATGCAGATGCAGATGCGGCGGCAGAGGCAGAGGCGAGGGCGAGCTCAAAGCGTTTGAGCGCGACACGCGCCTTTTCGGCCACGTCGAGTTCCGCGTCGGTGCAGAGGGAGCGCAGGCGCTCCTCGATGCCGAATGAACGCAGCCGGTTCGTCGCTTCCACCACCACTTCTGCGTGCACGGCGGGCGGGCGAGGAAGAAAAGGGAGAAGAGGAGGGAGGGGGCACAAGTGCAAGTGATTGTCAGAGGATGGTCGCAGAGGGATCCAGTCGGAAACGATAGCGGGGCAGATGGCTGCCGACACATCACTGCGGCTGCGGCATGCTCACCTTCTCCGTTGTCGCTCCGGCTCCCCTCGCCGACGGCCATCGAGGGTCGGAAGAGGAGATTAGAGATGCACTTGGCCGACGCGCACCGGATCTCCTTCCACGGGTGGTTCTGTAGTGCAGTGCAGCCACGCCGCCCAAGAGAAGGGGGAAGGGGGAGGAGATGGGATGCGTCAGCGCCCGGACTCCCTCTCATTGACCGCCTGCCCCGCCCGCCAGCTGGCGGTACCCACCGAGAAAAAGACGAGGGCGTCGAGCAGGTTGGGCCTGCGCAGCAGCAGCCGCTTGTGCCGGTCGCTGCCCGTGGCCAGGTTGACGAGCAGGCACGCCGTCTGCTCGAGCGTCGACGCGCCCTCAACACCCGCGTCCTTGCACTCCCAGATCGTCTTCTCCAGCAGGTCCATCAGCCTCTCGCCCCCGTCGCCGCCGCCGCCGCCCCCGACGCCGCAGACGACCATCTCGACGTCGTCCGACGTGCCCACCGCCGCGTTGCGCAGGATGTTGAGCGCCTGCTCCCGCATCACCATCTCGCCGTCGAGCGCCTGCGCCACGACAAAGTCCCACCCGAGCTTGTCCAGCACCTCGACCTTGGCGAGCTTTTCGCACTTCCACAGCATGTTCTTGAGCGCCCACAGCGCGTTCAGCCGCAGATCCTGGCACGCCGCATCCGCACTCGCGCACGCGCCCGAATCTGGGCTGCTCGTCGCCTCAACCGACGTCGCCGGTCCGTGCAGCCGACCGTGGGCAAAGGCGACGAGGCGGTCCAGCCCGCCCTGCTCCATGACCAGCTTGCGCATCGGACTGAAATCGGTCATGAGGTTGCAGATGGCCGCCGTCGCCTCGACCTTGACCGCCTCGTCCTCGTCCTCGTCGTTGATGAGGCCCACCAGCTTGGCGGCGATGCCGGCGTCGACGAGCGACGTGCGCAGGATCGAGATGCTGCGCGACAGGGCGCGCGTCAGCCGGCACGCCGCCACGCGCACCCCGAGCGCCGGGAACGTGAGGCAGGGCACCAGCATCGACAGGACCGACGGCGTGCACGTGTCGACGGCGCGGCGGCGCAGCTCGTCCTGCTGGAACGTGAGCGCGGCCATGGCACTCAGGCACGCCTCGCGCAGCCGGATCAGCCCTTCGTCGACGGCGGGCGGCGCGGTCCCCATGGTCGGGTTGGCAAAGCCGCCGCCAGACGGCCGCAGCGCGGGAGACGAGCTCGACGACTCTGCCTCGCCGCTCTGGCTGCACGCCCGATCCAGAAGCGCCGTGAGCTTGCCGAGCGCGTCGTAGTTGTCTGCCGCCAGCGTCTGCAGCTCCGGCTCGTCGGCCACCAGCCTGGCAATGGCAAAGGCCGCCTGCACCTGGATCTGCACCTGGCTCTGAGCCTGCAGCGATGCCGTCGGCGACGCCGTCGACGACAATGACGACAACGACGACGCGGCGCCCGACGCGGCGCCCGACGCGGTGACCGCCTTCTGGTCGAGCAGCTCGATCAGCACCTCGAGGACGCACTGATTCGTCCTGGGCGTAAACGGGTGCACCTTGATGATGTGGGCCAGGCAGCAAAAGGCAGCGAGCCGGACGCCGGGGCTCATGGCGCGGCGCAGGTTGAGGAGCATCGACGTCGGCAGGGTGCCCGAGGGCGTGCTAAAGCGGAACAGCCGGATCGAGGCGTCGGCGTTCTCGCGCGTCAGCTCCGCCAGGCACCACAGCGCGGCCTCCTGGACCTTGGAAAAGCCGCACTCGGAGGCGGCCAGCAGCACCGAAAGCACCGTGGCAGGGCCCTCGTCGTCGCCGGCGCCGGCCCCGGCGCGATCGAGGCTCGCCTCCTCCTCCTCCCACAGCGGCAGGTGGCCAGCATCGCCGCTGATGCTGCCGTTACCGCCGTGGGTGGCTTCCTTGATCCTAGACCTCGACCGCGAGCCCTTGCGGATCAGCTCGGCCTGGAAGCCCGAGGATCCGCGCACATCGGCGTCCTGGTGGCTTCTTCCTCGAGCCTCGCCATCGCCATTGCCGGGCAGGTCCGTGGCCGACGTTGAGCTCTGCCCCGCTGGCCGCTGCGAAGGGTGCAGGTAGGGGCTGTCGCTGGCTGCAAAGTCAAGCAGCCGTTCGCGTCGCTCGGCGAGCTCCCTGTCCGGCGACTCGGCGGCAGCCGGAGCCGAGTCTGCTCGCCTAGAGGCAGTGGCACGCCCTCCAGAGTGACCGGGTATGTAGACGGTCCCGGCGATGGTGGCGCAGACCATCTCGGTGATGCTGAGGATCTTGGAGCGCGTGGCAAGGGGCAGCTCGTCGACATCGACCATGGCACCGTTGCCGGTGAGAGTGGCGCTGGCCTTGCCATCGAGTAGCTCGGCAGTGGCGCCGAGTGCTGGGCTCGACATTCCGACCGAGGACGAGGCGCGCGAGTGCATGGCGACGTCGCGAAGGCCGCCCGCGGATGCAGTGGCGGGGCTCTGAGGACGCGGCAGCTTGGCGGGGCCCTGGAGGGGGATGCGCGAGATGAAGAGCGGGCCGACGAGGTAGGGCAGGTTTTGAGGCGAGTAGACGGCGGTGAGAAAGGAGCGAGAGAGGCTCCTGAGCTCGCGCAGCTGGTCGAGCTCGGTGTTGTTGTTGAGCCGCTTGCGCTGCGCGCGGAGGTCTTCGGAGCTGGCGCTGGCCATGGTGACATCGCGGGGACGATGGGTGGCGGAGGGCAGGCGCGACTCTCTGCTGCTGATGCCGACCACCTTGAGACCGCCTGGGCCTGGGTGTGCGGCGGGGATGGCGACACCCGAGGAGACGGAGCTGGTGCCCCAGGCGGAGCCGATGCCCCAGCGCGGGCTGGCCGAGAGGCCGTCTGCGATGGCGAGGAGGATGGAGCGGAGTGCCCTGAGGACGGCCTCGAGGAGCTTCAGCGGGCCGGTGGTTGCGGCGGCGGCGGCCGTGGTGGTGGCGAGGAAGTGGTGGCCCGTGTTTGCGAGGTGGTCCACGAGCGCCTTTAGCGAGTCGATGAGGGCGTCGTGTATGCCTGCGCGGAGGAGCTGAAGGAGAGTGTGCGGTGCGGGTGTGTTGGAGAGGGAAGCGACGATGGTGGACGCGAGGGCGACAATTTCGAGCGCGTGGGGCGACGATGCGAGGTCGATGCGGAGGAGGTGGACAAAGTCGTGCATGGATGCCGTGTTGACCAGGCTCGACTTTTTGGTGCGGGAGCCGATGATGGAGTTGCGGATGGTTCGCAGGCGCTCGATTACGGTGGCTGCAGAGTGCGGGCTGTAGTGGAGCGATGGGTCGCTGAGGGTGCTGGAATCGGCGCTGGAGGGTGCACCGGCCAGGGATGGTGGGCCTGGATGGGCGAGGAAGGTGTTGAGCGTCATGGCGGCGAGGCTCGAGCAGGGCGCGGGGCCGTGGCGGAAGTGATTGTGGGTGGTGGTGGCGCGTATCGATTTCGGCAAGAGTAGTGTGATGGTGACAGCGGGTGGTGGTGGTGGTGGTCGAGGTCGAAGAGTGGAATGTGGGGTACGAGGGGCTGCTGGCCCGCACGGCGATCGCCCAACCCAACTCCAACTCGACTCCACATGCATCTGCACCTCGCTCCGGCCTGCCCGCCCCTACCCGCCCCTCTGCCCAACGCCGCTGGCCCCCGCGTCCCCGCATCGTCCAGCCGGGCTCAGCTGGGCTTGGCTGGGCCTGGCCCCCCGGTCCGCTCCGCGCTCCTTCTCGACCCGCCGCTTACCATCACCCACGCAACCCACCACGCCATAATCGTACAACGAGCTAGCCATTACCATGGGAAGATCCCAGCAAAGAAAAAACAAACCCTCATCAATCGAGATAAAGTACAGCAAGCAGCGGGTCGGGCGAGCGGGCGCGCGGGCGGCCCTCCGTCAGATCCGGTAGACGACGCCGTCGCTGAACATCACCTCGTTGACGTCGTTCATGGCCTCGAGCGCCTGCCTCGCCTCGCGCGAGTCAAACAGCGCCTCGGTCCGCATCCCCGCGTTGATCATCGGCAGCAGATCCTCGAGCGAAACCATATCCTCCTCGGCCAGACGGCCCCCGGACGCCAGCAGGTCCGCCAGCAGGCCCTTGAACTCGCCCAGCCGCTCCTCGGACAGCGCGCGCGACGCCGCCTGCTGCTGCTGTGAATGACCCGCAGAACCAGACGATGCGGCCGCCGCCGCCGCCGCTTCGGCCTCGCGCATCGCCTCGATCTCGTCGGCATCGTCCATCGCCGCGTCCTGATCGTCGTCCATGCCGCCTGGTCCCACCAGCCCGGGCTTGGGCCGCTGCGACGACGTGGCTCCTCTCGTCCCGTAGCTGCGCCCCGGACGCGACCGCGGCTGGCTTCCGTCGACGTAGGCACCGCTCGCGTCCTCGTCCTCGTCGTCGTCGTCGTCGTCATCGTCAGCGTCGCCGCCGCGCCCGCCGTTGCCGTTGCCGTTGCCATTGGCGTCGCCGTTGCGTCCGCCGCTCCTCGTCGCCCGTCCGTTGGTCTGCAAACCTCGGAAGCCGTGATCCGTCGCGCCTGCCGCGCCGCCGTCCGAGTCGTTGTCCGAGTCGTCTTCGTCATCGCTGATGGGGCTGCGCGAGCCGCGGTCGGTGCGCCGCCGCTTGTGGGCGCCCCGCTTCGAGCTGCCCACCACCTCCTTGAACAGCGCGAACCGCAGAATCTCCTCGGCCGCCTCGGCGTCGCGCTCCTCGACCTTGCTGCTCAGCCGGCTCTTGGCGTGCGCCGTCGCAAGCCGGATCAGCGTCTCGAGCGTCCTCGCCGTCAGCGGAGACGTCCGCTTCTGGTTGCCCGACAGCTCGTCGTTGCGCAGGTTCGAGTAGACGTTGACGATCCACTCGGCCGCTCCCTTGGTCAGCACCGGCATCACCCGCGACTTGGCAAACTGGATGTACTTCTTGACAAACGCGATCGACAGCACCTCCTTCTTGCCGCTGGTCCCGCGTCCGCCCGAGGCCGTCACGCCCGAGTGAAGGAGTGGGTTGTACTTTTCAAACGGCGACGTGTCGCCCAGCATGGCGGCGCCGTCGGCGTCGGTGCCCTCGGGCGCGCCCACGTCGAGCGCCTGGTCGAGATTGTCAATGGCCGGCGTGCCCTCCTCGAGCCCTGGCTGCAGGTAGCGGTGCATGCGCAGCACGTGCTCGGAAATCATCCGGTCGCGCTGCTCGTCGACGTCGTCGGTCACGACAAACAGCAGGTCGAAGCGCGACAGCAGCGAGTCGGGCAGCGCAATGTTCTTGTGCGGGTCCTTGTGCACGTCGTACTGGCCGTAGATCGGGTTGGCCGCCGCCACCACCGAGCAGCGCGCGTTGAGGCTGGTGTGGATGCCCGCCTTGGCAATAGTCACCGTCTGCTGCTCCATGACCTCGTGGATGGCCACCCGGTCAATGTCGCTCATCTTGTCAAACTCGTCGATGCAAATCACGCCCCGGTCGGCCAGCACCATGGCGCCCGCCTCGAGCCGGCGCTCGCCCGTCTCCTTGTCCGTCGTGACGGCGGCCGTCAGACCGACGCCGCTCGAGCCTCGGCCCGTCGTGGCAATGGCCAGCGGCGCCGTGTTGAGCACGAAGCGCAGCATCTGCGACTTGGCCGTCGAGGGGTCGCCCACCATCAGGATGTTGATGTCGCCGCGGATGTGGGTGCCGTTGGGCAGGTTCTTTTCCGCGCCGCCGAGCAGCAGCAGCAGCACCGCCTTTTTGATGTAGTCGTGGCCGTAGATGGACGGCGCCAGCGACTGCGACAGCAGGTGGAAGACGTTCTTGCGCTTGGCGATCTTGTTGATGTTGCGGATGTCGGTGTCGGTGATGTGCGCCTGGGCGATGCCGCCGCCGGCCTTGGACGAAAGCAGGTTGAGGTTGTTGCCGACCATGAGGGTGCGGAAGGTGGACGAGGAGCTCTGTCCGACGCGGTTGCCGAGGCTGCGGTACATGCCGACGAGCTGGATGCGGTCGCCCGGCTTGCAGCGGTCGACCATGTCGTCGTCCATGACGACCTCGATGCTGCGCGGCAGCTGGCCCGGCGGCGCCCGCTCGGGCATCTCCTGGATCGAGATCATCTGGTGGTCGCGGAAGACACTGTGGCCGTACTCGGTCGTGAGGCGGTTGCCCTCCTCGTCCTCGGTCGGGTACACGGTCGACGAGGGCGGCAGCGTGCCGTACATGGTGGCGTCGCGGTACTCGCGCTGGTGGAAGTTGGTCGTCGCCTCGCAGTAGTGGACCGACTTGAGGATCTTGGGGCGCACGAGCGAGCCTGGGCGGCGGCGGCGGCGACGGCGGCAGTAGCAGCAGCACGACAGGGCGGGGCAGTACAAGGCGAAGGCGACAGGCAGGGGGTCAGCAAGGGAGTCGACCGGAGCTCGACGGCGGTCAGCGCGCTTGCGCTTACTCACACCTCGTCACGATGCCCTCGAGGCTCATCATCTTGCCAATGTGGATGGAGCGGAGGGTGCGCGGGTTGACGTGGTGGTCGCCGAAGCTGCCGCGCAGACCGATGTAGTACTGCTTGCCGACGACGTCGGCCTTCATCGACACGGCGAGCGTCTCGACGAGCGAATAGAGGGCGGCGTCAAACGCCGGCAGGTATTCGTTGGGCTCGTTGAGGAGGCCCGTTGCAAACTCGCGGTTGTAGGAGCGGACGTCGTCGAGGTTGACAATGAGGCGGCGGGCGTCGACGCGCAGCATCCTCCGCACGGCGTCGCGGTAGTTGGTCATGGACGTCTCATCGTCGAGAAACTCGGCAAAGACGCGGGCACGGTCGCGCAGCAGGTCGTCCTGGAGGACGGGCACCTCGAAGTTGATCTCGCTCGCCGGTTGCGTCATCTCGATGGCGGCGGCGGTGGCAGCAGCGGCGACGGGGTGATGGGACCTTGACTTGGCTGCCTCAACTGGGGCGTCTTGTCCTTGTGTGGCAGTCCGAGATGCGATTCAGTGGTAGAAGTGGGGTGGAAGCCGTGCGTTGAGAGCGAGGAGAGCAACGCCCGGCAGGGCAAAGGAACGGAGCGGGAGCGAGTGGTCGAGCAAGGCGTTGGAGAAAGGCAGACAGAGTGACGGGATGAGAAGCGGAGAGGGAGGGAAAGAAGGAGGAGAGAGAGGAGGGCGATGCGGGTGTGATGGCAGAGAGGGGGGGAGGGGAAGAGAGGGGAAGGAGGCCGTGGTGGGCCCTCGCTCGTTGCGGCCCTCGTTGCGGCGGGACCTGGCAGCAGCCGCTTGCTGCTTGTGTGTTGGTCGGTTGGTCGTTTCCCAGACGGACGGCGCAGGCCCTGCTGCCTGGCCTCCCCTCTGCCGCCATCGCTCTCTCGCTTTCCGCACGCGGTCCCTCAAGCCCTGGCCTGCCAGGCAAGGCACCTTCGCCTGCAATTTACGCGCTCGCCGCGTCCGCCGACCACTTAACGCGACAGACCCGCCTGGCTCAACCGCGACCTCGCGCTTCCCGTCTCGATTTTCCGCTGCGACCCCCGCCTGGCACGGAGCCGAAAAAGCCGCTCGCCTGGACCAGCACCTCCCAATTGCTGGCTGAACCCCTGCTCTCTCCACCTGGCTGCTGGCATGCACGCACGCCGCTCTTGCTGCCATCCGCAGCTTCGACGACGACAGGCAGCGCGACGGAGTGCAACACAATGGATCTCGCAACGGCTCCAACGACGGTACAAATTACAAAGGGCGATGGCGATGCCCGGGACCTTTAGCTGGCGCTGGCGAGCGCCTCTGCCTCGTGGATCTCGCCAATGGCGTGCACCGACTCGATGCCGAGGTCAAAGTTGAACGTCGTCCCGCGCTTGCTGCCACGCTGCGCCTCGTCGACGCCGCCGTCGCTGCGCAGGCCACCGTCGACGGCCCAGTCATCCTCGGCATCGTCCGAGCGGCGGCTGACATCGCGCGAGAGGGCCGACGGGGGCGAGTCCTTCCTGGGCGCCGGGTTGGCCGAGGGCGGCGTGGGGACATCGAGCACCGCCGAGATGCCCACTGTCCGGATCTTTTCGCGCATCATCGACAGCTGCGAGTTGGACACCTGGCCCGTGTTGGTCAGTACAAAGTCGTCGAGCGGGATCTGTGTGGATCAGGAGGACAGAAGTGAGCATGGAGGCGAGGCAGGACCATCGGTGGGCAGCCGTCAAGATGCAAGAGGTTGAGTCAGCAAGCGAGCAAGGTCCGAGGAGTGACAGAGGCTTGCTGGGCTGCGATGCGCTGCGCTACTCACGATCACCGTCTGCCAGTCGGCACCCTTTGTCTCGTCGAGGTAGAGGCGGTGCTGGAAGAGGTCGCTGGTGACGGGACCGTCAGTCTGGATATTGACGAAAAACTTGGGTCCCGGCGGCTCCTTTCTGCCGAGGCCGAGGGCATGGATGGCGCGAGATGCGGCGGGACCCGAGGGATCGTTTGCGTGGATGGCGGCGCGCAGCGAGTGACCGCCGGCCGCGGTGGACGGTGCGCCGGTGTCGTCGCGAGCCGAGGCAGAGGACGAGGCGGGCGTCGAGGCGGATGGTGCCTCGGCGGCCGCAGAGGCGCTACCGGGCACAATGGGCCGCTTGGCGAGCCGATTGCGGACGCGGAGGGCGAGGTAAGGGTGGACGGTCGTATCCCAGCACTGGTTGCCGAAGAGGGTGGGGCGGTTGCGGTTGCGGAAGCCGGCATAACCGCTGCGCTCGATTTTAGCGCCCCTGGGCACCTGTGAGCTGAGGGTGCCGTAGAAGCGACCCTTTGATGCGTCGTCGAGGGCGAGGCGGCACTGGGAGAGGCCGCCGATGTCCGAATCCGCGCCCGTGGCAAAGTTGGCGAGGTGCTGGGGCGAGGTGAGGGCGTAGATGAGGAGGGCCCCCTGGTTGGCCGAGTTGGGCGAGATTTCCATCCTCATGACTGGAGTAGATTGGGGAAGGGGGGGGGGGGGGGCGGGAGGGGAGCGACAGAGAGCAGCCAGGTCAGAGCTAGGCTTGGTCTGCGGCAATCCGGGCGAAAGGCTATGCACTCTTTGCAGTCTCGTCTCTGGCCATCTCGATGGAGCGCTGGATGGCCTGACCAAAGGCCTTTGCGAACGACATGGTGGGGCAGTTGGCGCTTGCTTGCTTGCTTGCTGGAGGTCCAAGAGGGGAAGGGCAGTCGAGCGAGGAGAGATGGTGGCCGAGAGCAGAGCGAGAGCCGAATGGCCGGTGGGTGGGTGCGTGAGGCAAGGCCGGCCTGGATTACACACCCTCCGAGGCCGTGGCCCTGGCTCACTGTCGGGTCTTCTCTTTTCCCCTTGGCCGGCTGACGGGCTGGCGGGCGGGCTGGCGGGCTGGCTCGAGGTTGGTTGTGGAGGTTGGGGACCGACCCTTGCCTTGGCCCGGCCGCCCTGGATTTTGATTTTTGGATTTGGCCTGTGATCGCAGGCAGGCGAGCGGGCACGCCACGCCACGCCGCCCCGCCCGGGGCCTACGCCGGCGTGGATCCTTGGACCAACACAGGCGGGCGGGCAGGCCCCCCTTTGGCCCCCCCCACCTCCGCGCCAAAAATTTTGGGCTTGGGCGCAGCTCACAGGCCAGCCCGGCAACCAGGCAGGCCCAGCCACACCCACACAGACGGACGCAAGCAGGCTTGGCTTGGCTGCTGCTGCGCCAGCCAGCCGGCCAACACGCAAGCCCTTTCCCTGCCTGGCCAGGCCACCCACCCACCCATCACTACCATCATCACCACCCTCACCGCCATCACCGCCATCCTCGACTCTCGGCGCCCTTTTTCATCCCCCCCGCATCCTCGCCCGCTCCTCGCGGCACGCTCCTCCGACCCTGGCGCTCACTCCACTCCACTCCCAGAGCCAGCCCGTCCACCTCAGGCCCCCTTGTCTCCCCGTCCGGGTGGCGTCCATCGAAAGCGAAAAGACAGCCCCCGCCTCGCTTATCCACGTTCAGCCAGCTGGCCATCCGCCACTGCGCGCAACGGGCTCTTTCCTGCCCTCTGCCTCTGCCCCTCTCTTGGGGCCCATCTTTCACCTTCCACCTTGCCACGCGACATCTGGAACCATGCCCTACCCCAGCTACCAATCCTCCCCCCTCTTGCTGCACCACCCTCCGGCGCTGGCAAACAACGCAAACGGCCATACCGCATTCCAGATGCCTTCGACCCCTTCCAGATCCGCCTCGCCGGCGTATGCGTCTGCGGGCGCTGCCGCCGCCGCCGCATCAGCTTCGCCCGGCCCTGCGCACCAGATCCCTTTCAACGCCACCCCGGTCCACCATGCCCCCAGCCCTCTCGGCTTCGGCTTCGGCTTCGGTTCCTCCTTCGGCGGCAACAACAACCAGGCACCTCTCGCAACCCCCTCTCACTCCTCCTTTGCCGCCACCTCGGCTCTGGCCCATTCATTCGCCTCGCCATCCGCCTCCCCGGCCTACTCGCCACGCAGGGCCGATACCAAGCGCAGGCGCGACTCGGACCACGACGACGCCGACGAGGCCGACGAGGACATGGACCAGCACTCTTCATCGCCCCGCATGCGGCCCGCACCCGGCATTGGCGATTCTACCTTCGCTGCAGCACCCCGGTCGATGCTAGCGCCAAAACGCCTCCGTGCCGGCATATCCCAGGGCAGCCCCTCGTCTACCCACCTGGGCGCCGCATCGAGCGGCCTCAACCGATCGATCTGGGGTCACCCTGCGGAATCGTCCTCTTCCCATCGCTCCTCGTCGAGCCCCGGCAAGGGCCGCATGTCCGGCCTCGATGTCGATCTCGGCAAGATGCTGGGTAAGTGTCGCATGACCCTCGACCTCACCGCTCCAATCTTCCGGCCCGTTCGAGTTTGACGCTAACCACGCCTGCCACTGCTCTTCTCCTCTTCTCATCCCTCGCCGTCCACAGCCTCGGTCGACAAGGCGTCGCTGCTGTCGATGCTCATGAACCTCCTGGCGCAGAGCAAGGATCCCAACCTCGGCGCCCAGATCCTCTCGCTCCTCCCAACACCCTCCCTCGAGACCGTCGAGGCCGCACTGGACGAGGCCGAAAAGAACGTACGCGCCGCCATCCCCTATACCCAGGGCGGGGACGCCGCCGGAGTGCGCGACGAGTACACCTGGAGCCGGGTCCGAGGCCCGCTGGCCGCCTTTTCGGACGCTGCGCTCAGCTACCTGCCCTTCTTTGTCAGCGAGCTGGACGCCAAGCGCGGCGGCGCCGGCGGCTCCGGCTCGGGCGCGGACGAGGCCGTCGCCAAGCGCGAGGAGGTCCACCCTGCGACCACGTTTACCTTCCTGCACGCGCTGACGCTGCGCGTGCTGAGGCTACACGCTCTGCTGCCGCCCGTGCCCAAGAGCAGCCTGGCATTCAGCGCACTGCGACTCGACCGGGCGCCCTCGACGTCGTTCGGCTTCGGTTTTGGCTCGGCTGCTGCATCTGGCTCGATGGGCGGTGGTGGCGGCGGCTCTCACTCGACCGTCGCCGGCAGTTCGCGGGGCGGTGAGAGCAAGCACTCGAACCTGGCGGAGCGCATCCCGGAGGCGTACACGTCGCTCGTCTCGCCCGATGCGCTGCTGTCGACGCTGATGCCGGCGCTGCTCAAGCAGTGGACCATCCTGGTGGAGCGGCTGGACCGGGCGGTCAATGTCGAGGGCCGTATGTTTGGCCAGGAGGTGGTGCTGGGCTGGGCGCGCGCACTGGACACGGTCAACACGCAGGCGTCGTCGGGCGAGGCAGGCGCCAAGCCCGAGGATGCCATCATCCGCAAGGCGATGGACGAGGTGCGCAACCGGCTGGAGCGGGACCTGGGCTGGCTCGTCGGTGGAGGGCCTGGACCTGCGACTCTGCGTTCCGCCACCCCTGTCGCCCGGCCGGTCGCCTCGGCAGGATCGACGAGGGCCGTCAACTCTACCCATGGCGATGGCTCCCAGCAGCAGCAGCGTCAGCATCTCGTCCGATCGGCACCGGCGGCGACGTTGTCCGGGCACATTCCGAAGCGCAGCCGTGGATCTTCGATGGACGACGACGAAGAGGAGCTCTAGACGAAGACGCACGCATGCGGCGCTCGACGGCGTGGCGCCGCCTTTGGGCCGCGTTTCGGACATGGCCTCGTGCTGCATCTCGACCTTTTCCCGTCATTCCCCCTGGCAACCTCAACACCACCACAGATCCCTCTGCATTGTCGGTCATCGTTTTGTCCTTGTCGTTCCCCCCCATTTTGTCCCATGTCCGGCCTCGATTGCATCCAAGCCCCAAGCCCATAGCACGCACGCCACCCTGAGCCGCAGCCGCAACGGCAGCATGCGCACGCTCCGCGTACATATACCACGCCATCCCATCCCTCAGCAGTAGGTAGCAGCAATCACCAGTCGATAGCCAGTAGTATTTGGCCGCGTTGGTAGGCAGTTCTCCCTTCCCACCGAGGACAGACGGTGGCCGCGTCTCTTGCAACGTCTACTTTGGTCTGCATGGACGGCGCCCCTGTCTCGGCATCTTCTTGCTGTCGATTGAACATGAATGGCGCCTCGCGGCCTCGACCTTGCACTTGACGGCGTGCGTGGAAGAATGGGCCAGTGGAAGTGTGGGGCGGTGGGACGGTGGTTTCGCTCCATAGTCAATAGATGATGGAAAGGACGCTCACCCGCCACGAAGCGTGGTGGCGACGTGGCGTCTGCGATGCCTGCCAGGTCAGGTCAGGTCAGGCCGGCCTCTGCAAGCCACGCGGCTGTGCGGGGCATTTTTTCGGATGGCCAACCGCCGGCTGCAGTCGGCAGGCTGATCCCCCCACTTTTGGGGGTGAGGCGAGGCTGCCCGCACCCCATCCTGACTCGACTCGACTCGACTTCGACTTCGACTTCGATCGGCTGGCTGGCTCTTCTCGATCCACCACCACCACCGCGACCCAACTTCATCTAGACACCGGCTCTCGATTCGTCACGGACCATGATCCTCGCTGCGACATCACGATGACCACCATCTCGCCCTCGGCAGCAGCGCCCCCCTCGCTTCGTCCCTCGACATCGATGAGCGGGTACAGCCACACGGACACGTTCCGGTCTGCACGTCAATCCATCGATGCCCGCTCCTGGACCGACGATGACGCGACGAGCGCGATATCAGACGCCACCGTTCCCACGCCACGCCCCGCGCCCCCGCTCGGTCACGGCCAGGAAGACGAGGTCTCGTCTGCCTCTCGGCGCCGGGATGGCGCTCCACGTCCACCCAACCGCACTCAGGACGTCGAAATGTCGCACCTCGGCGGCGACACCACTCTCGGCGCTTCACCCGTCATGAGCGAACGGGATGCGAAAGATCCTTCTCCCTCTCCCTCGTCCAAGGAACACGGAGACGAACACCATCCTCCGGCCTCGAGCGCCTCGGCCGATCCCGACCTCTCCCGCACCCCGCCCCCGCTCCAAGAGGAGCTGGTACCTGCTCCAGCACCGCCACCGCCGCAACGGGAGCCGCTGCGCTTCCGCATCGCGCGGCACGCCGGCATCCTCTCGCTGCTCGCGTTTGCGTCCATCTGGGGCACGCTGGCGCGCGAGGGCCTCGTGGCGCTCAACACCTACGACGGCCAGAGCATCGCACCCCTCATCTGGGCCCAGTCGGTCGGTTGTCTGGTCATGGGCTGGTCCATCGGCAACCGCAAGGCGCTTGAAGCATGGTGAGTCGGCCCGCCATCCCTTCGTTCCGCTCGTCTGCACGCTCCGGTATCCGGCTATCAACTGACCGTGACTGGCCGACTGCTGTCCTTCCCCTCCCGCCCCCTTGGTCCGCACCTCACCAGGTCGCCCTCGATCTACCTCATGGTCACCACGGGCTTCTGCGGCAGCGTGACGACGTTTTCCTCGTGGATCCTCGAGGTGTTCCGCGCGTTTGGCGACCAGCGCCACTTTGCACGGGGAGGGCTGCACAACGTCATGGACGCCCTCACCCAGACGGGCGCCACCCTCGGCATGTCGCTCATCTCGCTCTACGCGGGCAAGCGCCTGGCCAACCTGCTCGACGTGTCGCTCCTGGCGAGGTGGCACGCCGCCCGCCGGGGTCGCAGCGCGGCGCTCAGTGGCGATACGGGCGGCCGCAGCAGTAGCAGCGGGATCAAGGCCCACGTCACCGACGACGAGGACCACCACCTGGACGCCAAGGGCGAGGAGGCGAATCGGGAGCTGCGTCTCAACCTCTTCTTCATCGTCTTCGGACTGGCATTCTGGATCGGCGCAGCGCTCCTGTGCGCGCTCAAGGCATCGTTTGGCAGCGTGACCTTCTCCCTGGTCCTAGCGCCACCGGGCACCTTTCTACGTTGGTACCTCTCGCGTCTCAACCTCGCCTCGATCTCGACGCGGCGCTCGTTCCCGCTCGGCACGTTTGGCGCCAACATCCTCGCGACGCTCGTCATCTCGTCGTCGTTTACCTCTCAACGTTTCGGTCGCGCCGCCGCCGCCGCCGCCGCCGCCGCGGGAGGGGGAGGGTGGGGGAGGGAGGCGTGTTGGGCACTATACGGACTCGAACACGGTTTCTGCGGGTGTCTGAGCACGGTATCGACTTTGGTCGTCGAACTCGACTCCATCTCCTCTTCCTCCCCTTCCTCATCGGGGGGAGGAGGGAGGGGAAGAGGGATGTGGAAAGCAATACGCTACCTCTTCATCAGCTGGGCCGTCGGACTCGTTTCCACCATCCTCGTCGTCGGTGCACCCTGGTGGTCGGTCGGTCTAGATGGGAGGTGTATCGGCGTGACCCTCTGAACGCCCCTCCCTCCCTGCCCTCTTCGGTCCTGCTCCTACCTCCACTCGTTCGCTCCCGTTGCTGGGCTAGATGGAATTCATATACCCCACTTACCATCTGCGATTCCCGTCCCCCGAGCTCGACATCTTCCCTTCGCACCGTATCGCACCGCCTTCGACACGCTTCAAACGGCGCGGAAGCGCACGGATCGCAGATCGATCAGCGATCGCACCTTGGACACTGAGTCGGCCACAGCACCGCATCGAGTCGGTTTGGCTCCGATTTTTCGCTCTGGCCCTCGCTCTCGATTCGATGCTGGCATTCGATTTGCTTGCTTGCATCGCATCGCTTCGCATCTAGCAGCTGGCAACTCGGTGGGACGGGATCCGGCGAGTACGCCCGTCCATGCCTCTCCCAAGATCTCCTCGAAGAGGGCACGGACCGAGGGCACAGGGGACCAACGACGACAAACGACGCCGGCCTACTTCTTCTTGTCGCCCTCCTCCTTGGGCTGAGGGGGTGTGAGCTTAAACTCGTTGGGCCTGTACGACTGGCCCTCGCCCACCTGCTCCCATGGCGAGCTGCAGTGGGTGAGGGATCGGGGCGTCGGGGGGTCGGGTCAGAAAAGGGGTGTTTTGTGCGATCAGCATCAGGTGGAGATCAGGGGCGGGCGCCGATCTAAAACGGAAGCACCACGCAGCAGCAGCAGCGGTGACACCGGCGACGACGACGACTCACTTTGCCTCAAAGTTGCGGAAGGCCTGGGTGAGCTGCAGCGGTTCCGAGACGACGCGCTTCTTTTCCTCGTCGTAGCGCACTTCCGTGTAGCCCGTCAGCGGGAAGTCCTTGCGCAGAGGGTGGCCCTCGAAGCCTGGCAGAGGGAGGAGGGGGAGGGTAGGGAGGTAGAAAGGTGAGCGAGGAACGACATGGTGAGCACGCCAGTTCCGTCTGGCGGCCAGTGGTCGGCCAGCGCCGGCGGCACGTACCGTAGTCGGTGAGGATGCGTCGCAGGTCTGGGTGGCCGACAAAGAAGACGCCAAACATGTCCCAAATCTCTCGCTCGTACCTGACGACCGTCGCATTTGGCAGGAAAGAGAACCAGATGTCAGCGTACGGCCCAAGGGGGTGTAGCCGCGCAAGAGCAGAGCCTATGTCGGCATCGGAGGAGGGACGCGGCTCACCAGTCTGCGCTGCGGAAGAGGCCAGTGGCGCTGGGGACGGGGTGGACCTCGTCGGCGTAGGTCTTTACGCGAATGCGAGCGTTCCACTGGAGCGAGGTGAGGTGGTAGACGATCTCAAAGCGCTGGGAGCGGGTGGGGTAGTCTGCGCCCGAGATGTCGATGCACTGGCGGAACTGGGTCTGGGTGTGGTCGCGCAGAAAGGTGAGGGTGGGCAGGATGCTCGAGGGGGCCACATAGAGGGTGAGCTCGTCCTTGACGACTGAGAACTGCTGGATGAACTTGGGAAGGCCTGCGGGTGGGGGGTTGGAGAGGGGGAAAGGCAAGGACAGGGCAAGACGTCAGGACCGGGCACTGGCGTCGAGGCGGAGCAGGGATAAAGGAGGACGACGCGGCAAGGAGAGGGGCAGAGCTGGACGGGTACGAACAAGAAGTGATGTAGCTGCCAAAGTCGTGGAGGGGACCCTGGATCTGGCGGTACTTTTCGGCCTCGTTGAAGCCGGCGGGCTCGGTAAAGGGCGAAGCACCGACGACTGTGGTTAGGGCGGGCGGCAAAGGGGGGAGTCAGATTAAGCAGTCAGCACGACGGTGGCGATGGTGATGAGAGCAGTAGAGCATGGCGAGGCGACGCACCCCTGTCGCCCTTTCCGTCGCCCTGAAGAGCGACGCGGGAGGTGGCGGAAGCGGTAAAGGACCTGGAAGCGGCGATGGTGGCGGAGCGGGTGGCGGTTGAGGCCGATGCGGGGCGGAGGGCGGCGCGCGAGGCGAGCGAGAGTGCGCTCAGGGATGATCTAGCGGCTGCCATGTTGGTTGTGGGTGTGCGTCGGCGAAGCTGGTTGGGCGGTGTTGGCAAAGGTCGACGAGGCCGGGGTGGTGGAGCGGAGGGCGAGCGGCGAGCGGTGAGCGGTGAGCGGCTAGCATCTGCCCAGCAGCTCCCGGGGATGGCGTGCAGCAGCGGTCGCTGTCTTGGGCCTGGCCTGGCCTGGCCATCTTCGCTCCGGCCTCGAGATTGGTCATCTAGCTCGGTGCCGAAACATGGGGCCGTCTCGTTTCTCGCACGGCTGAGGCTGCCTTGCCTCGCCAGGCCTCGCCTCGCCAGGCCTGCGCTGCCTCCACCAGCCCAACCACCGGCACCGCGTCGAGGGTCCCCACTCGTTCTTCCTCTCCCCATCTCTCTCTCTCTCACACAGTCTGTATCAACCGCTGTCGCCATCCCTGTCCCTTAACCCCCCCTAGCGCCACAATGGCATCCGCAGAAGCAACGGCATCCTCATCCACGTCGTCGGCCCTCGCCCTCACGCATGCCAACGGACACCCACCATCCTCGTCGTCGCACCCGAGCTACTCGGCCGCCCTCAACCCCATCGATGCCCTCCCGTACTATGACCGCGAGCTCGAGACCCAGCAGGGTTTGAGAGCGCGTGTAGACAACGAGATCGCTCAGGAGCAGAAGTCCATGCAGGCCCTAGGTCAAGACCGCCTGCCTCCCCCTTACGAGCCCTTTCAGGTGAGTCGCCCTTGCCAGTCTCGACGCAGCCTCTATGGTCCCCTTCACGGCATCTGACAGCCTGCCGCCTTTTTTTCAACATCTGCTTCGCGCCTCCCTCTCAGTCGAACCCCCACCTCAAGGCAGAGTTTGACCGCATCGCCGGCGGACAGGCCGCATCGCAACGGCTCGACACCACCAGATATACCCTGCCACCACCCGCCGCGGGCCTCGAGGCATCAGAGGACGAGTGGAACCAGGCGCTCGACAACGCCGCATCCCAGCTCGGGCACATGCAGATCCGGTTAGTGCCAGCACACATTCTCTTCCGACAGGCCGGAGCCTTGGCGACCGCTCGCTCGCTCACCGCCACCACGTTCCTTCCCCTGTCCCCCGCTTCCTTGATCCACAGCTTGAAGAACGTCGAGCTGCTGCGTAAGTACGGGTCCAACCTGTGGCGGCTGCACAACTTCCAGCAGGAGTCGATGGCGCAGCAGTACGCCGACGCCGTCGAGGCGATGCGGGGCCTGACCAACGAAATCAACCGGACGCGGCAGTCGGAGCAGACGGACGCGGGACGCAAGCTGACGTCGCTCGAGCGGCGGTGGACGGAGCTCATCTCGAGCGGGCTGCAGCTCGAGGTGGCCAACCTCACGGCCGAGCACGAGGTCGAGGCACTCCAGCTGCAAAAAGAGGCGCTGCAGCGCCAGATTGACGACATGGACCGCGCCGAGGCACAGGCGGCGTAGCGCTCTTGCGCTGCCCTTTGGCTGCGACCGACCGCGCCCTCTCTGCTGAATCGAATGTACTTTTACATGGACCGTGTTGTGGACCTCCGTCGTCGTCGGCGAGGCCATCCCGGCGCGAACTACCTGCTGTGCGTGCGGGTGGTAGGCCAGGCAGGCCGTCAAGTCTGGCGCCAGGGTGGTGGATTTTGGGTGACGGTCGCGGGAGTCGGGAATGGCCCCGCCTGGCCTGGTTTTGGATGGGTGAGGGTGCGAGCGCGGTGAGGGTGAGGTGAGCAGAGGGCCCGGCGGCCCAACACCCTTTCTTCTCACCCTGCTCCTGGCCAACCGACGCCTGCTCCTGGGCAACCAACCAAGCAACCACCTTGGCTCCTCGTCCCCTTGCCATCTCCCACCACCCACCGACCCGACCCTGCCTTGCACGGCTGCAGTCATGGACGCCGCCGCCTCTTCTTCCTCATCCTCGTCCGCAGCCGTCGCAGCGCCGTCGGCGGGCACATCACTGCCGGACCGTAAGCGCTTCATCGCCACTCTGGGCGGCGGCGCCTTTTTCCTCGGCCTGACGGGCGCCACCATCTACGGCCTGCGAAAGGCACGCGCACAGGCGCTCAAAGAGGCTCAGGAGGCCGCCCTCTCGGCTTCGGCCGCACAGTCGCCCGCCATCGCCAGCGTGCCCTCGTCATCGTCATCGTCGGCGGCAGCGACATCCTCAACAATCTCGGTGCTCCGCAAAGCTCCCACGACGACGGCGGCGGCGGCTGCCCCCACTTCAGTGTTTGACGATGCGTCCAACTCGACCCTTCCCGGCGTTTTGAGACGCAGGACGGCGACGACTCAGAAACCAACACCAGTCTCTGCGCATCCTCATCTCGTCTCCGCTACAGTCAGCTCGTCGGCAGCCAACCCCAGCAGCAGCAGCTCGACAGCCATCAGTGGATCCACCTCGCCATCGCCCGACTCCAAGATCGACTACAGCGAGATGGACTCGACGCTCGACTTTTTCGGGCTCTCCACCCCGCAGACTGCCAGCGAGAAGGCGCAGGGCGCCGGCGAGGGCGAGGGCGACGGGGCCGAGGAGCGGTATCGACCGATGAGTTTCGGCGAGACGCCCGTCGGACTCTCGCTCAAGGCCTTTGCCACGGCCACGGCCATCGTGCTCGGTTCGGCCGCCGTCGTCGTCGAGACGACGCGGAGGGTGATGGACGTGCACAGCCTGGACGAGGTTGTGCTGCGGATGAGCACCATTGTCCCCTCTCGCTCCAGCGGCGCAGAGGCGCTGAGCGGCATCTCCCCGTCGCTCCGCACCACCACCACCTCCTCCTCCTCGTCCTCCTCTCCCTCGACGACGGCGACACCGGTAGCGGGCGGGGAAGGGGAGAGGGCGGCTCCGAAGCCGATGTCGGTGCAGGAGACGATGGACGCTCTGGGTGCCGCGACGAGCCTCGAGGCGTGGTTGACGACGCTCAAGACGCAGCTCGACGCCGAGCGCGACGACGAGGTGGCACGGCGCTTTGCCAACCTCGCCGCGTACCAGGACCACGTCCGCGCGCGCTCCGAGGCAAACGACGGTCGACACGTCAACGATTCCATCTCGAGGTCGTACGACATTCACTCTCCCCTCGAAGACGTCGCGTCGTCGTCGTCGTCGCCCCCTTCTCTGACGATGATGGGGCAAGACCAGACGCCGAACAAGCTGTCGAGTTCGAGGTACACACTGTCCATCTCTCCGCTCCTCCCGCTCTCGGCCTTCGGCTTCGGCTTCGTATCGGGCCTCACGTCGGCCGGGAAACGGGCCTCGCTCGTCTTTATGGCCGAGAACGCGCACCGCCTGCCGGATACGGTGCAGGGGTGGTACTTCTACTCCAAGACGAAAAACTACCGCATCCTCCTCCGCGGCATCCAGGGCGGGATCAGGCAGGGCGCCAGGCTGAGCGTGTGGACGACGGGCTTCTGCATCGCCGAACGACTCAGCGAGCTGGGACGCGGCGCGCTCGGCGAGTTCCTCGATAGACTCAGGAGGGATCCCCACGTCGGCGTCGCAGGAGGCGGTGGCGGTAGTAGGTATAGGAGGGGTGCGACGAGCAGGGAGAGAGAGAGACAGCACCAACAAGAGGACGACAACGGAGACGACAACGCCGTCGTCGTCGCCGTCGATGCGGCCCATTCGGCGTCCAAGTTCCTCGGCCACTGGACCGACGGCTCCGTCGCCGGCCTCGTCACGGCCACCGCGGCCGTTTCCCTCTGTAAGTCGGCACCGCCACCCGCCATTTTCTTCTTACTCGTGGTCGCGCATCTCTGACCCCATCCCTCGCCTCCTTTCTTTCACCTTTCACCTTTTCCCCCTCTCCCCTCATTCCGGCCGCATCGACGACGCCAGATCAACTGACAAAGACGCCCGCCATCCGAGTGCTCCAGCTCGGCGTTCTGGCCGGCGGTCTGACGGGCGCCTTGCGCGATGCCCAGGAACGCCTCGTCCACCGCGAGATTGGCGGCGTCGCCAGCCATACCTAGCTATGTAGTTTGCGCGTGTCTCGTCCCACGTAGACGTGCACACGCCAGGACGAGGCGTGCAGGGCGCCATCGGCATCGTCCACCCGAAGGCACAGAGGTACAGAGTGTCGGAATCGACTCGACATTTCAGGCTCGATGCAGCAGCGCCGACACGCTCGAGAGACTGTGAGACGGGGAAGCGATCACAAAGAGTCGGGCTGGGGATGCCGGCTCGGGCTCAGACTCAGACTCAGGGCCTGGCCTGTTCCCGGCCTTGTGTGTGTGCGAGTGCGAGTGCGTGTGCGAGTGCGAGTGCGAGTGCGTGCGCGTGTGCGTGTGCGTGTGCGTGTGAGTGTGCGTGTGCGTGTGCGTGTGCGTGTGCGTGTGCGAGTGCTTGGATGGGTGCGAGCGGGCTGCTTGCGCGATGCGTTGGCGCGGGACCCTCCCTGCTGCTGGTCACGATGCTGCTGCTGGTGGTTGTGACGACGTCGACTTTGCTCCCGGCCGTCGCTGGTTGGCGCTGCCCCTCTCTTCACTTTGACTCAGTCTTCATCCTCTCGACCCTCGTGACAAACTCGGGCGCCTCTCCGGTGGCGTCGTACTGGTCTGCGCCCTGGGCGATGCTGTAGTCGAGGTCGAGGAACGTGTGCCTGTGCTTCCTCTTGGACTCGGTGTCGATGCCGTAGTGCTCGTCGCGCTTCCTGAGCATCTCCCTCTGGCAGCTGGGGCCCGGGTAGGTGTCGGTGGTCGACATCATGAGCAGGGGCGGGCCGAGGGGCAGCGGCGCGTCCGGGTCGGGCCAGGTGTGGACAATCTTGCCGTAGAGCCGGTAGATGCGCTCCATGACCTTCTGCTCGGCCGCGTCGGGCACGCCGCCGCCCGTGGTGCGCGACAGGCCCGTTGCCTCGCCCGCCGCCTTGATGCCTGCGGCCACGGTGCCGGCGGCGCCCTTGAGGCCGATGCAGACGAGCGTGCCCGTCGACACCTCGTGCTTGTGCGAGTGCCAGTACTTTTTCTCGTCTTCGGGCAGCGTGACAAAGATCGACTCGTCGACCATGTACTCGATGCCGATCAGCTTGGCGTCGGCCGCGTCCGAGTTGTAGACGAGGCACTGAAACATGTTGCCGTCCGCAGAGCAGCCTGAGAGGGGCGGTGGCGTAGGGCCAGGGCGAGGTCAGGTAAGGTCACACAGCCGGGACCAGACGACGAGAGGGTCCGGCACCGATGGCGACGCGATCCTCCAACGATCTTGACTGTGCCGGGTCGAGGACTCACTGCAGTAGTGGACCGAGGGGACGCTCCTGGTGCGGTCGGTGGAGGGGATGTGGAAGGCGTGGAGCGCCTGGTGGATCTGCGGGCGAGGGGAACAGCGCGTCGAGGTCGACGAGGAAGCCGCATGCCCATTGTGGCCAAGAGTGTGGAGTTCAGAGCGCTGCCTCGGGTGTGGCCTGCTGCACTGCCGGCAAGGTAAGGTGCTGCGCTGCCCGGCTCACCTTGTCGATGGGTGCGAAGCTGTACGGCAGCGGCACAAGAGGAGAACGCACGGCAAGAGGCGATGGGGCGTGTCGGGTGTTAGCTGCTGCGGCATCTCTGAGCGTACGAGGCACTCGACGTCGACGCGGCCCGACCCACCTCATGATGATGCTGCGATGTCGATGGGTGCGGTAGCGATGGGTAAGTCGGTCGAGCTGGAGGGATGGGGGCGATGCGATGAGGGGAGAGAGATGGGCCCACCCTCGCCGCCGTGCTTATATCCCCGTCGCCCCCGTCGCCGTCGTTGGCCAGCTCGAGCCCGCGTCACGGTCTGGACGGAGGGGCCGGTGCCATCCGGGTCAGAGGTGAATCATCGCTGCTGCACCGCCTCCAACGTAACCTAGCCTTGTCTTGTAGCTCGACCAGGCCAGGCGCGGACAGCGGCCCATGAAGCCGGGCGTGCGGCGGACCGACATGAGGCAGCTCAGGGTCCAGCTTCCAGAGGTACATGCATGCATGCATGGCAGGCCAAGCCAACGCGCAGCAGCAGGTCGCAACCTCCCCCTCGCCCCCTCGCTCGCTCGCGCACAGGCGGCCTCGGCCCAACACCCGACCCAGCCGGCCTGCGAGCTTGCTTGCTTGCTTGCTTGCTGGTCGCTCGCTCCTCGGCCGGCCTCCGAGACCGGGGGTTCGACCGACGAGCAAGCCTCAGCCCAAGATCAAGCCTGGGGCTCGACCGCCATTTGAGTCTGAGCTGAGCATGCCGTGCCTCGCGCCCCGCAGCCTGGCCCGCCCGGCGAGCTCCCGACATCGACCGACCACCGCCCCGAAACCAGGAGCGAGACAAGGCCAAGGGCAGAGCAAGCTTGCCATCCAGCCAGCCCGCCTCTCCTCTGACAGAGAGGGTCGCCTGACCTGCTCTGGCCTGACCTGGCCTGGCCTACCAGCACTAGCTCCTCTTTCACGCCAGGCGTCCCGGATCATGCAGCGGCGATGACGGCAGATCTAGTGGGCCCACAGAGGCACAGCCTCAGAGTTACGGCTGGGCGCTATCCGCAGGAGCAGCCAAGCTTACAGGCGGGCTAACAGACACGACGACAGACAAGGGTGCCAAGCGGCCGGAATTATAGAATCAGGTGCGGGCTGGGCTGGCTCGATGAGCGCGCCATGGGGGACGAATCGCCTGGCTGGCGGGCTGGTTCCGGCTGGCTGGCGGGCTGGTTCCGGCAGCCCGGTCGCAGCGGGGTATCAAAGGAGAAAGCAAGCATGGTGACTACACTCGGACCACAAGCAGGGCGGCAAAGAGGATCCATCGGTCGAGATCGCAGCGAAACCTCATAGATGGCGAGGCGGCGGCGGCGGCGGCGTCGGGCGGGGCTCAAGAAGGGAAGAGTTGCTGCGGAGCGAGGTTGAGGCTACCCTGGTGCAGCGCCCAGTCGAGCAGCAGTCCCTCCGTCAGGTGCGCATCCGGTGGCGTCGCTTCGCCGTAGCCCAGTGCACCCTCACCCGTCGCCGCCACAGGCTCAATCGCGCCGTAGCCGTGGGCGCTCGAGCTCGAGCTCGATCCGACGCCGCCGCCGCCGCCGCGCGGGTACCCGTCCGGATCGTAGGCCGGCTCAGACGGATATGGCGGATACGCGGCGTGCGTGTGCGGCGGTGGATGTGAGTGTGGGTGCGAGTGCGGGTGTGTGTGAGGGGGCGGGTGCATGGCCGGGTAGGGATGATACGACGGTCCGTGCTGGTCTGGGGGCAGGTGTAGGTGCAGCGGCGCATAGTGGGCATCGTCGCCGTCGTCGCCCCCACGCGCGTCCAGGCCGCGGGCCAGAGGAGCGGACCGGTGAGGATCCTCGATCAGGTGGAACGGCAGCGGCCGACCGGGCCCGGATGGTGCAGTGCGTCGGTGCGGTTCGTCCCGGTAGCCACGATGCTCGTACCGCCCTGTCGAGGAGGTCGGGCCAGACAAGGGCGGGGGCGGGGGCGGGGGCGGGAGCGGAGGCTCGTCCCACGGATGCAGCGAGTGCTTGTAGGGCCGCACCACGGCCGCCACCGGCTGCCTCTCGACGGCCGTCATGGCCTGCTGTAGCGAGGATAGCGGGTCGCTCGACGGGTCGTTCCACGATGAGCAGAACGCCGGGATGATCGACTCGTCCGGCAGGCCGGCCTCCAACGACGGGCCGCCAGTAGCAGCAGCGCCAGCAGCACCAGCAGCATCAGCAGCCGTCGAAGGCCCTAGCTCGGCCGTCCTCGAAAGCAGCCGCCTCGTCAGCGCGGCAAGGTGCTCCTCGTTGCCCTGCCAGCGCACGCCGCCACCCGCGCCGCGTCGACGACGACGCCGCCACGACCGCTCCTCCTCCTCGAGCAGCGTCTCAATGATCCGGCTGCCGCGGTCGGACCCGGGCGTCTCGCGCATCGACGCCAGCGCCGCGTCCACCTTGTCCCTGCGCGCCTTGCGGGCGCCCTCGTCGAGGTGCTCGTCGAGCAGCAGCGAGATCGACAGCGTCAGCGTGGCACCAAAGAGGTGGTAGAAGTTGATCCAGAACGCGTCGATGACGGGGCACACGCTGCGCAGCAGCTTCTGCGTCGAGACAATCTGCTCGGCCAGCATCGTGAGCGCGGCGCGGCCGTCGGGCGAGGCGAGATCCTTGCGGTTGAGCTTGAGCAGGAAGTCAAACGACTGCTGGTGCAGCAGGCAACGCTGGACCGCCAGCACGCCCGGCTTCATCCGCGTGCTGTCCAGCCGGTAGAACGACGGCAGCTCCTCGCCGAGAAACGCCTCGACCTTGGCCTGCATCCGCTTGCGGTTGGTGGGCGACATGACGGCGTACGATCCGGGAGGCTGCTCGTTGCGCAGGTCGATGCTCTCGCGGATCAGGTGGGCCAGCGAAATCTGGCCGAGGACGTAGCTCATCTCGCTAAACTCTTCGAGCGGCAGCTCGTCGGCCAGGTTCTCGGCCAGCCGGTCGTCGTTGGTGTGGAGCGGCCGCCGCGTCGTCATCTGCGCCGGGTGCACCGTGTAGGCGCCCTCGCGCTGCGCAGAGCACCAGTCCTTGACGACGAGGTACCACCAGATGCGCACGCCCGTCTCGATCCGCACCAGGTCCTCGCCCACGTCGTTGGGCTTGGGCATCGCGTCGCCCAGGCGGTGGAGGCCCATGTCGAGCGCCGTCTGGATCGAGATGCGCAGCAGCATCCGCAGGTACGACGGCGCGTCGCGGCCATCGAGGATCATCAGCAGCGCCGCTTGCACCGCCTTGAGCGAGCCGAGCGAAAACGAGCGGTCGGCCGCCAGCGCCCGCTTGGCCAGCTGGTACCACTTGAGCGAGATGTCGTCGCCGCGGTTCTTGAGCGCGTCGGTCGCGATAAACTCGGGGCGCTGGGCGTCGACGAAGAGGCCGCCACGCCACGGGTAGAAGCGCATGCCGAGCCGCAGCACCATGAGGTACCGCGCCAGGTCAAACATGTCGAGGGTCGACATGAGGATCTCGGCGACCGTCATCGAGTTGAACGCGTCCACGTCGCGCCGGAAGGCGGGCATGAAGATGACGTGGCCGACGAGGTGGTGGCAGCGAAGGTTGAAGGCGTAGATCAGCTCGTCGATGACGATGGGCTCCGGGAGGATCTGCTTGGCCTGCTCGAGGATCTCGATGCGCTCCGCCACGGCGACCGACCGGCCATAGTACGGGTTGGCCTCGTCCTGGCTGATCTGGGTGGTGCGCGGATCGTTGATCTTCTTGGCCGACGCCGCGCCGTGCCCGGGCTCGCCAATGCGCGGGTCCGAGGCCGCCAGCTTTTCGAGGATCGAGACGGCCGACTCGGCCTCGCCGGGCGGGTCCTCGATGTCGGTGAAGGGCGACGTCGGCCGGGACGGGTGGTGGCCGGATCGGCTGTTGCCTGAGGGCCAGATGGAGCTGGCGCCGGACGTGGTGTTGTGCTGCGACGTCGAGGGTGAAGGCGGCTGCGGGTTGCGCGGCTGCGACGGCTGGGCGCTCTGGTCGCTGCGCGACGTACTTGGCGAGCCCTGGCTGCCGACGAGCTTCTCGAGCTCCTGAATCCGTCGTTTGAGAGCCGACACCTCGTCGCTCTGCTGTTGGTCGCGAGAGTGGTGGTCGTGGAGCTGCTGCTGCTGCGTCGTCGTCGACGAAGCCTCGGTCCTAGGCCGCTTCCTGCCCCTCGGTATGCGCTGGTCCTTTCTGCACTCGTTCTGCAGGCCCTTTGCGGTGCACTGGTTGCACGGCAGCTTGGTGTCGCACCGCAGCTTCTTTTGCCTGCAGCGCGCGCACGATGGAGTGTACTTTTTGGCATTGGTAATTTGCTGCTGCTGCTCCGGGTCGAGGTCGGCGATGCCTGGTGGAGCGTCGTGTTCTCTGGGGCTGGCGAGCTGGTCTGGGGACCGCGAGCGCGGAGGTGGTGCGTGTGCGGGTGCGCTGTGGCTCAGGGACGCTCGATCGACGGATGCCGAGGAGCGTGCGAAGCGGCCGTCGCAGTTGTCGCCGTCGTCGTCGCGGTCGGCGTAGTAGCCGCCTTCGGCAGCGCGCTGAACTGCGCTGGCATGGTGGTGATTCTCCGGCATGGTGCTGGTCTGGCAGGCAGGCAGGCGGGCGGGGCAGCTCTAGCCTTCGCCTTCGTCGTGGCCGTCGCTTGAGGGAGGTGAGCAAGCGAGTGCAGCTGAAGCCAGGGTGAAGTGAGGTGAGGATGGGCGGGCCCCCGTCGAGAGGCTCAGTCGTCGGCCATGGTCGGGGGTCGAGGCCCAGAGTAGTCACCGCCCGTACGCGCGTTGCTGTGATCGTCGAGAGTTCGTCGTCTGCGGTGAGCGGCAGAGTAGTCGCGGTGGCGCGAGATGATGGTGCGGGTGCTGGTGCTGGTGCTGGCAATGGCGGCGACGGAGGCTGGCGGAGCGACAGGTTCAAGTCAGTCAGGTGGCCGCGATCAGGGCGGACGTCGGCTCGGGTGCCAAAGCAGGTGGACAGGTAGGCAGACAGGCGAGAGCCGAGCGAAGCAGGTGCAAAGCGGGTCCAGCCCCGGCCACCTGCCTGGCTGGCGGGGGCTGTCAGGACGCACCTCGGCTCCCGCTCCCGCTTCCCGGCCCACGCCGCCGTCGGCCAGCCGCAGGCCCTGCCTGGCCCGAAATTTGGACTTTTCAGGCCGGCCGTCGACTTCTATAAAACAGTTTTGGTAAATATATATACAACATTTGTCCGCTCGACATCATCGGGTTTCTTGGCGCAGTTGGTCAGCGCGTCTCCTTAACAAGCCGTGTCGGCTCTGCCTACGCTACTGGTTAATCGGAGGAGGTCCTCAGTTCGAGCCTGGGAGAGATCATTTTTGTTTTGTAGGAGAGGGGCCGTGAATTTTGTCTGATTTATCGCTCGAGTTTTTTTTTCCCGTCTGAGCGGGGCGGGCGGTCCAGGAAGCTCGCTCGCATTCCTGCTGACCGAGAGACGCTGCTCCTCGTGCAGGAGCTAGGCGGTGACCAGTGTCGACTTCTGTCGGCGCCACTCGATAGCAGCACTCGATGGCGACTGCCGCCTCGCCGCGGAGCTTGGTAGATGGCCACGAGTGCGACTCTTGTGTTTGTTTGCAAGAGCGCCGCCCCAGCCTAGGCCGCTCGTCGATCGACACTTAGGAGTGCCCTCGCTGCTTCGGCTTGCCTGTCCCTCAATCGTCATCCTGACGGTCAGTGCTCGGCGAGTGGATGTTTGCTCGAACGGAGGGCGGGGATGGCTGGGGTTGTAACTCAGCTGGACACGATATCCCAGGTCGATTGTTGCGCGGCCTGGCGTGGCGGTACGGGAGCAAGCTGGTGTCTGTCTCCTTCTGCC